CTTTTTTTCTTTTGTTATGCCTTTCTTTTGGGCTTTCCGAAAGCTTTGTTGAGTGAGGAGTTTGGTTTTTTAGAAACTTTGCATGGTTTGTTTTATCAATGGCTGTTTTCCAAAATTTTTTTCGTCATAAACGACTATTTCTCGAAGTAAAAACAACTAATATTTTTTGGAAAAAAATAAACGACTTCTATTTTTTTCTAAATCCTGTCACCGGGAAGATATTTCTGTAGAGTTTAACGCAGTGTCATCTCTATTCATCTCTATTTATCATGGTGGGTGGTTTGCCGGCAACTACCAGGACAATGAGGATGGTGGAAATATGCGGAATTTGGGGGAAAATAAAAAGGAAAAAGAGTGAGAGAAGATATTTAATCTCTCCGTCCTTCTCTCATCTTTCCTTTTCTCATTCGTCTTGACATGATGGGTTCTTACACTTCGACTTACAACGTAAGCGGTACAGTACATATATCCCTAAAGGTGTCCTCAGTTGCTATTATCTGAGTCAACACCATTTCACGACTAGATGGGCCCATAACCAGTTTTTGGTTAGAACCTCTTTCAAAAAAAAAACGAAAAGCTGCAAAGATTGCAAGAGAGCCATCGATGAAGCAACAACAGTCAGCTTCGATTCTCTCGTTTGATACGATTTCCTGCTTCAATGATCTAGGATCATTTCATTCCATTCTATCATGGACTTGCTCAATTATTCGCCGCAAGTGGCACGATACTACTCATGAGGAGTTTGTCATCGTGGCCGTTGGCGACTTTGGCAATACTCAAGTTTGGGTATTTACAAGTGCAAGAAAAAAAATAAAAAATGAAAAATAGAAAATAAATAAAATGAATAAAGGCATTTGCAAACAATATCTTCTTCTATCCCTTTGGAATTTAAATCCTGCCTACTGTGTAATGTGTCAATCCTCTACGCAGTCAGTCAAGAATCCTTCCTACAAGTCAATCGATAAGCCCGCGCTGCTGATGTGTACTGTACATACGTACCAGGAAGAATGAAGTTTCTTTTTTTTTTTCCGTGTATTGGGGAAGATAACATTTGCATTCATGGACAAAAACAATTCTGCTGACATTTTCAGCAACCCTTTAGGTTTGGTGTCTATATACGTGTGCAACGAACAAGAATGAATGTCCACCGGAAATACATATATTTACTCAGTACTAACAGCCCAGCAGTCTAATATAACCCCTAACACAAGACATTCAATATAATCAATTAAATTTAAACTAGATCTGCCCAGCATTAAAGAATATACAATCAACGTTTAGTAAATTCAGTAAAAAAGATCGGAACAACCATGATAATTCCACATTCTATGCCATTCGATTTTTCGATCGTCGTGCTAAATTAATCGTCTTGTCCTTTCGCTTCAAATTTCGTCGCAAGGCGCCGTTCCTTCAACAGTTGCATCATTGGTCTAGTGGTAGAATTCATCGTTGCCATCGATGAGGCCCGCGTTCGATTCGCGGATGATGCAAGCGATCCAATCATGTCTTTTTTTTCCCATGTGGGAATTTTTTTTCTTTAAAACCCCGTCAACTATTCTTTTTCTTTCGTCTAGGTAATTGCTCCTCTTCTCCTTCTCCCCTCCCCTGTGTACATTTTTTTTTGGTGTTTGTAGGAAAAAAAAAGACAGTCTACAGTCTACACTACGTTGTAAGTAATTTACAATATTACTCCACAATCAACTCGACTCGACTCGACCTGTTGCAATCTCTCTCCAAACTGTTAACAACAAACTTTACTTTACAGCTTTACTTTACAGTTACAATTCTGGCCCCATTTCTCTCATTGGGCGGCCCACCGGGCGAGCGGTGCCATATCACCTACCTAAAGTGGAGGATAGAGGAATAATACTACCTACTTTTGTATACTACTACTGCGCCTATGCACGCGCCAACCAAGCGAGTAAGCAAGTAAGCAAGTAAGCAAGCAATCTCCCCCTCGCTAGTCGCTAAGGAAGCTTGCTTGCTTACTTGCTTACTGACTGCCTTAGCTTAGCTTAGCATTAGTTAGGGGGATAGAATGAGTGAGATCTCTCCTAGTTACCATCTACTAGCTAGCTAGCTAGCTATGTACTGTACAGAGTACTTCGTACTCGGGTGACGCCGAATTTCCCGACCGGGTCAAAGTGGATGCATCCACCTGTCTACAAGGAAACTAACTCATGAATGAAGGATTTCTGGCTTCATTCAGAAGAAGAGAAAAAAAAAAATTGCATTGTTTCAGCGAGTTGGAATAAAGTGCTCCGAGTCCTTCTCTTGCTCACTAAATGACTCGGGAAACGCGGCGATTCCCGCAACGATGGCCACGGCCATGAACGCAACCGACACGAGAGACCAAATCACGCCCCAACATCGCGAAGAGCCTCCATACCGCTGGGCGAAGACGCTGGAGTCGGAGGAATTCACTTTCCGAAGGATCAGGTCGTCGCACTAATCCAAGGAAAAGCGTGTCAGTGCTGTGTATGATACTTTGCACGAAAAAAAGAAAAAAAATACTCACGATATCCCAGACGCTGTAAAGGGCAGACATGACGCCTATGAACAGCTATATATATAAGAATCATAATCATCAGCCATCTGTTAACAGCTGGTTGGAGATAAAAAAACTCACAACTCACCACTACAAATCTCAGCGCCTCGGCGTGAGCAATAAACCAGCACGCCACCAGCAATCCGACGGCGAAGAGGACCGTGATAATCGTCAGCCAGTCCCTCCGAGCCCACCAGAGGGTCAACAGAAAGCACACCCCCAAGACAATGCTGGCCAGCTTGCTCGCGACGATGTCGAAGCCGCAGAAGATCAGCAGCGCGCCGATCAGGGACGACCCGAGATAACCCGCGGGGAGCGTGAGGGCGCCGATTCCGCCCTGCATGTAGGTGACGCCTCCCTCGCGGGGATCCAGAGAGATGCACTTGACACGGCCGCCTGTGCAGCAGGCCGTTATGGCGTGTCCGAATTCGTGAAACGCAATGACCAGCATCTGTTTGTTGTCGTGATTAGTTTTCTCTCTTTCTTTCTTCTTAGCCTTTTTTTTTCTCGGCTTGTATGTACAGGACAGACAGTACTTACTTTGAAAGGCCACAATGACCAGCGAACATATGGCAAATTCCAAAGAAGCGCAATAGCGACTATGTAGGCCACAATTACGCCGAGTGTCACTGCCTGTGTGTGATTCACTGTCAGGCTGCGGCGCAGAAGTCCATGACTCGGAGAAAAGCGCGGAATGATTTGTTCTGTAGAGTCGGCGTCGAAGAGCGCACGCGTGAGATGATCGAGGCCGCGAGCCACATGGAACGGAGCCATAGGTTCATGTATCAAATCAGAGAATGTGGTTCTGAAGCTCTGGTCTGGAGATATGTCTGGAGGGAGGCAGGCAAAATATACGACCGAAGGGATGGATGGGATAGAGATGGTTTACGCGTACTTTCCCATATGCATGTGACTCCGCCTCAGTAAATAAACAAGACCCCGGCAGGCACACTTGAAAGTATTTAAACGGGTGTGGACACAGTATTTGTTGTAGCGAAGAAAAGAAGAAAAAAATAAAATAATAAAAAAAAAGAAACCACAGTATTATAACCTCTTTTCATCTCTCAGAGAAAACAAAAATGAAAATGGGTGTTGCTTGCTGGCTGCGGCCTAGTGAGGCAGTGCTAAGGAAGTGATCAATGATCATGATCGATCGCCACGGGCCCCACTGAGTTGGGTACTGTAGTATACTGTACGCCTAAATTAATCGCATTCAGGCATGGATTCGAAACCATTTCCTGTTCAGCCCAGATTCACTGATATAGATGTCTAGAACCTTCCAAGCTTCATTCTGATGATGACTATTACGGAGACTATCATAAACTCTCAAGGAAGCCTATTAATATAATATCAAGATCTATAATATTAAATACAAAGCTTTAACAGTAGTCAGGGTCAAAATCTAGGAGAGAGGTATAAAGAAATGCCACAAGTCTACCCTTAAATATAAGAACCTTTATAAGATGCTTTATAGAGTAACGCTAATAAATAAGATATTATATAAATTTAAGCTAAAAGTAGAATTATATGAGAAGCTCGAACTAATTCCTTAATCAGATATTAATAAATGGCTAGATTAATAATAGATACTATACTTCCAGGTAGAGAAGATAGGAAGGGAGCTATGTATAATTTTTTTATGGGCTATACCAGATAAAGGCTACCAAGCTGCTAGAATTACTTGATTCGAAGATTGAAAAAAATAAAAGGAGACGGATTTAAATGTTTCTAACTATAAATAAAGCTACAGACCATGCCTATTAAATACTGCTAATTGGAATATATACCATAGCTAAAGGGATATTAGTCTAAATTAATTTCTATGATCAAGGTAATAGTATTATGCGGTCAGCTAAAGTTTAGCGGTAAAGACTCGGAGTTAAAATTCACCTTGGCCTGATGGCTGTAATTGCCCGCTATCATTGGCTATTGTACTTTTGTTCATGTCCAACACCATCCCAAGTTCCATCCATCCAGGAAACTCCATAGTAAGAATGTGTTAGCCGATTCTTCAACTACAACGCGTGCCCTGCTTCTTCCCAACCAGAATAATACTTTTGATGGAGGGCATTTGGAATTTGATCGGTCGCATCCGTCATCTTGGCATCAATCACCACACATGCGACGGAAATAAGGGAGGGGAGGACAAGACCCCCGTTCCAGGGCCAGAGCCGCGACGTCCGCTGACTCCGACAACGACGGAAACCAACCCGCAAGCACAGAGTGCGTTCTTCGCGCGGCTGCCGCCCGAGATTCGGCTTAAGATCTATTTGTGCCTCTTTGGCGATCGGAGAGTACATATTGCGGCGGTGTCGCCTTTATTGAACGGCAAAAAGCATCGAGGGGAATCCCGCTGGGTGCATCGGATTTGTAGGGAGCAAGAGGCATTCCGGGACCGGTGTGGTTGCATGTACTGCGAAAACAATCCCGACTTTGAGGCCAGGAAAGGCATCTCGCGGGCAGATTACAAGCTGGCTGGGTTGGCCTGGTTAAGATGCTGCCGCCTGGGGTCTGTGTTTCTGCATGCCGCATTGCGACTTTTTCTAATCAAAAAACTACAGATACAAAGAGTCCCTCGCCGTCCTCTACGGCTCCAACACATTCATCCTGGAGGCCAACAATGACTGGCTCTTTCGACTCGCGAGACTGTGGCCGGCCAGTCATCTATCGCTCATCACCTCCTTCGACATCAAGTTCTTTCTCGGCCGGATTCCCACCGAGAAATACCGCGCCTTCTTCGCGCTCCTGCACAGCCATCTCTTCCCCAACGTGCGCAATCTCCGCGTCGTGATCCAGGCCGAAACGAGGAACTTCTTCCTTGCCCGGCACGACCAGGCTGGGCTGACGGCAGACCAGGAAGAGGCGTGGGTGCGACCGTGGGAAGATCTTGCCGCGGGGCGGGAATCCTGGCGCAGGCTGGAGATCTTTGTTCCCGACAGTTGGAAGGAGGAATTAGACGGGGTGATTCAGAAACGAGGTCGGCTTGATGGGAGTGCCTTGAAGCTGCGGAGTGGGCCAGAGTATTATTATTATTTGCCTCCTATAATAACATTTGCCAATGGCGTTATATACGATACGATTCTCAACAAAAGGATTAATTGAAACACACACAGTACAGACTCGTCTACATAGATAGTTCAAACGATCGATCGATTGCTTCTGAATATATACTCCGTCGAGATTATGGGACGGGTTTTATACTATGCAAACGGCATTTTTTTTTCGAAGGAGCATGGTATCTTCCGCAAGATGCAGGGGTATAATACATATATCCTGAAGAAGGCATCAGGGCATTAATTGGCATCCGCTCCAATTTCTCGAGGAGTTGTACTCTGCAGACGAAGGAACCACATTGAGAACCTCACTCTGGTGAAAAAAAAAAGCGTATATAATAACCGGACTGCACTTGAATGAATGATTGATTGTGATTGAAAAGAAGGTGGATGATTGGATTAAGGTATATTGATATTTTCCCTCTCTCTCTCTCTTGGCAGGGGGTAGGTACAATTACAATTACAGCCTACATAACCTAGGTATGTAGGTCATCCATCCATTCAAATTGAACTAATTTGGGTACAGTAAAAATGCACGGGGGACTTGGTACAGAGTACATTGTAGTTAACTAGCTAGTTATTTAGTAACTGTTAGTTATAGGAACCTTAGAATAGGTATAGGTAGCCAGGTACCAAATTATATACCAATGTATGTATGTTACCAATCCTTCGGCTTCAGCCGCCGATGCCCTGGGTTGATTTGATTGAACTTGAGATTGAACTTGTGGTGCTTTGGGAATTGGCACCGTTGGGGTCCGATGCTGAATGCGCATGTACATACAGTACAGTACCTTAACCTGTAGGCTGTGGGGATGTATAGAAACCTAAGTTGTCGGATGGAATCCGAATCCTGTGGGATTCTTTCTAGTAACGGGTTGGAGTGTCTGGGTGTCATGGTGGTCTAATTAGTTAGTTTGTTAGTTTACGTAGTTAACAGAGTACATACCTCCTAGGTACGGAGTCCTCTGTACTGTACTGTACATGTACATAGCTAGGTAGCTAGCTAGCTGGTAGCTAGGAGAGGTATTTCTCTCTCTATTCTATTCTATTCCCCATTTATATTTAATATCCAGTCCCCTCTCCTGAGTCCTCTCGCGTCTTGAAACGAGAACCCCCTAACTAATCTTAGCTAAGCTAAAGCAGGCATTCAGTCAGTAAGTAAGTAAGCAAGTATGTACCTAAAGTAATCTCCCCTCGCTACCTTAAGGAAGCTTGCTTACCTGCTTACTTGCTAGTTGGCACGTGCGTAGGCGCAGTAGTACTCCATATATCCACTGATGGAACGGCCCGGTGGGACGGACGCCCAATAATGAGATAAATGGGGCCAGAACTGTAAACTGTAATTGTAAAGCTTGTTAATAGTTCAAACGAAAGTTTTGGAGAGAGATTGCACCGAGTACAGTACTAGTCGAGTCGATTGTGGAGTATTGTAATTGTTATTACTTGCAACGTGGTGTAGGTAGACTTTTTTTAACGGAAACAAGAAAAAGAAGAAAATGTGAGAGTGGGCAAAAAATTCCTATCTAGGGAATAGGAGGTTAGAAGATGATGGATCGCTTGCATCATCCGATCCGCGAATCGAACGCGAGCCTCATGAAATTTTATTTATTTGGATTGTAGTTCCCTCGTGTACGAGTAAGTCTGGTTCTGGTCTTGCTCAAAAAAAAAGGATCTGTGGATCTGTTTGGCTATCTGATATGCTTTAGAATTTTCTTTAGATTACTTGAATTGAAGCAAAAGCGTGACGTGACGGTAATAATAACCAATGCTTTTTTTTTCGGAAACTGGGCGTTGAGAGCGAGCAGCGCAGAAGGAAGGTGCAATGATTTATTTATTCGTGTTCGTCTTGTCTTGTCTTGTCTTGTCTTGTCTTTGAATAATGGAAGGGATATTTCTTCTCTAAATAGATAGAGTAATTATAGGGGACTTGAAAGTCAAAGACTCCCACCAGTTTGGACTTAGATAGATCATCTGGTAATACTAAGTAAGCCCTATATATAACTAACTCCAACCCTACCTATTGAGATTCTATATCAACGGGACTTCTTAGGAACAACGAAAAAAAATATGCATGATTAGTATCATCCGTGTATGTACATATATTTATGAAGTCTTCAGCGGTTATTAAAATATGTACTGTAAATAAATAAGATGAGCTAAGATCGTCACTGACCATGATCGATCATAAATAAAGAAGTCTGGTCTGGAACGTCTCGCCTTACGTCACATCATTACCCACCCACCTACCTAGAACACTAGACTTGTTTAATTAATTAACTAGGATTAGGAGTTCTATAATATAATGTCGTTATTACATATATAGTACTCCGTACAGATTATAATATAATCAGCAGAGCGAGAGTCCACTGCGTGATAGATAATTATAGTACTCTGTAGTTAGGTCAGGAATGGTGACAATAATAACGATCATAACATGCTCGAGGCAAGTAATTTACAGACTAATTAGGAATAACGATAGTGGCTTCATCAGGTTGGGGGCTTCGATCATAGTTAAGAATTTAGGCGATCGACGATTGGAATTGGATTACTCGGATAGTTTGCAGTTCCTCCAAGCCAAGAAACTCCATTCCTCTTCACTAGCCTTCTCACGCCTGTTACTGTTGCAATCGAATTCCTGTGGGGATCATTGAAATGATCAAGAGTCGCAAGTCGCAATCCGGATCATGAATATGACCGAAAAATAAGAAAAAGAAAATTAGAGAAAACCAATAACAACAAAAAAGACCACGAAAAAAAAAACGACACCCAACGCCACATAAGTCATCAGTAAAGTCATGGTCAAGACGGCGACCTCACAGCTCGCTCAAACTCCTGCTCCACCTGCCGCGCCTTGTCCATCCGCCCCAACTGCCGGTACATTAGCACCAAGTTCCGAACGATCAGGTTGGCCGTCCGGCTCCGCTCCCCCAGCTGTTTGCGACACCACCCCAGCACCTGTTCCTGCAGCGCCTCGGACTCGCCGAAACGCCCGTCCATCCGCGCATAGGCGACCGCAAGATAGTATTTCAGCGTCACCGTGTCTGAATCCTCTCCGCCGATGCTCTCCTCCAGGATGGCCACCGCCTGCTCCATAATGGCGACCATTTGCGGCTCCGGAACTTTGCCTTCCCCCTCCGCCGTCATCCGGCCGTAGGTCTCGGCCAGGTGGACGATGCACCTCCGCGTCGTCGCATCCTTCTCCCCCAGATGCACCCTGCCCGCCTCGACCGCATCCTGGAGAAGCCGGATCGCCTCGCTCAGCCGGCCCTGCGAGACGTAATCCCGGCCGGTACTGTCCATGACCGCGATCGTGTAGGGATGGCCCGGCCCGAGGAAACCAGTGCATAGCCGTAGCACCGTCTCATGCAGTTTAACCGCATCCGCAGCTTGGTCGTGGACAAAGAGGGTATCCGCGAGGTTGCACATGCGGATCAGGATGTCCATCCCCCCAGACTCGTCCTTCACGTCGCCGCGATCCCAATAGAGTCGCACGGCACTCTCGAGGGCGCGTCGCTCAAGGGCCAGCCCTTCCAAAAGCCGTCCCGGCTGCATCTTGATGTCGGCCGCCAGATTATACATGGCTGCCAACGTGTCCGGCGTCTCCAAACCCAGCGAGCGCTGTCGCGCCTCCAAGACGGCCGAGTCCAACCTCTCTGCATCACGGGCCCGGCCCTCCTGGCGATATATATGTGCCAGCAACATCCTTGCTTTCTGGGTTTCCGGGTGGTCAGGGCCAGACACTCGCTCCGTCTGCGTGAGCATGCGAAGAAGCATACCTTCGGCGTCTTTCCACTGGGCGCGCTCGACGAGGCCATCTACCGCATTCCCAAAGGCAGGGAGTTGATTCAGAAAGCTCATCATTGGAACGCTCGCTTGGCCGCATGTCCAAACCTGTAACATGGGGCTAGGTTCGAAGTCGTCTTGCTGGCTCAGCAAGACTTCTGGATTTAATGACAATAAGAGATCATGGGAAACAATGGATTGAGCAGAAACAGAAAGAGAGGGTGATGCCTATCTACAATAGCCGTTTACGCTGACGACAACGGACATTCGTCCTACTGAGATAGAAGGCAGTTCCATCAATCAGTCTCTCTTGCTCTATCTCCGAGGAGCAAGGTGCGCATACTGCCCATTGTATCTCGCCCCAAGGTTGTTCAGCACGTCAGCTTAATTGATAAACAAGGCTCACCGGCTTATACGCACGCATGACCCGTTCCTGTTTCAGCAGTGGCAGCGATGGCCATATTCCAACACAACGGTTGGCATCAGACCCCACAAGCGTGAGACAGTGGATGGCTGAACTCAAAACATAGATCATCAGTCATAAACGAGATCCAAGGTGGAGAGGGGTGCACGAGGATAGGACCCGAGCTTTATTGCTGACTTCACAGATTGGTCAACTGTCGTCGACATGGTATGGCCTTTCCCATCGCGGCCGCATCTCTGCCGATATGACGACAGGGATGTGTTTGATAGTGCAGCAGCCGACCTAAAGCTGGCTCATTTAGCTTGTCACAAGTCTCAGCTCCATCTCGGTTGTTTGACTTCGCAGCGCTGTGGCGTCAATTGGTCCTTTGACGTCGCAGTCGTTGCCTACCTGGGATTGATCACTGGGCTTTCCACGCGGTGGTGCAGTGGAGATCGAATAAACCGAGGAACTCGTTTTCAGCTAAGAATAGAAAAGCAGCAAAGTCTATCAAATTTGTGCAAACATTCCGTAATAATCACAGAGCCAATGGAGAGGGACAACACGCATGCCACTAGCAAGATAATTAATACAGTTTAACTCCACACTCGCGTACAATTAAACCGAGTCCGCAGATACCAACAAGCCCAACCCCAACTTTGGACAGCTCCCATTGCAAAAACAACGCCTAGAAAAACAGTGCAAAACTTAGACCAGGGCCGTGGCCCACTCGGAGGCTCTTTCGCCCCTCCCTGGCAACAACACGAGGTGGCCGTGTCCGGACTGCAGGCGTCTGCCGGCACAATTAGTCGCAGCAGCAGCAACAACTGCCTGCCTCGTGGCCGCCGTGTCGGTGCTTTTTTTTTTCTTCTCGCCCCGGGCCAGAGTTTGGCCAGAAGGACGCTAGAAAGCTCGCGGGTCGCACAACCGCCGTCCAATCTGAAACGCCTCCGCGGCGGCCAATCAGCAGCCGCGACGCGCGATTTTCGGCCCGCCGACCCTCCGGCTCTCCTCCACAGGCACAAAAACGGAACAAAAAGCCCCAGACCAATGACGCCCGCCGGATTGTTACAGCCGACCTCGCGTCTCAACGGCAGCACAACACAAAGGCAATAATGCACTCGACGTGACTCGGACATCTATGATGCATTGAACACCCATCCCCCGTTCATCCGCAGTCGCTGCCTCTCCGCAATGTCGCGCCGGATCTCTTCCTGCGTCAAACCGTCCGGACCCGACCAGTTCGCACTGCTCGTGCGCTCGCGGAACTTCTTGATCTTCTTGTCCGACTTGAACGTCTCCTCCAGCGAGAAGGGTGCGATGGGGCCAAAAATAGACTCCGTCTCGCGACCTTCTTGCTCCCGCAGCAGAGCCTCCAGCTCCTTAGGTTGTGCCCACTTTGGCACCGGCAGCATTTCCGCGTCTGAATCTTCGTCCTCGCTGTCTGTGGGGATCTCGGGGAGTTGGATATTCTCACCGTTAGGGTACTGCGGTGACGATTTGGCCGCCACGTGCTGAGAACTCTGATTGGGCGTCTTGTGGCCTGTTGGGGCTTGCGAGGGGTTGGGTGCATCTGCAAACGGGATCTTGCCACTGGCATATTTGGCCATGTCCATAGGGTGGCCGGGTCTGTGCGATGCGCCTGCAGCTTGCTGCACGTGGTGCGACCCGGAAGCTGCACTCTTGTACAGGGATGCTCCCGTCTGGTGGTGTGCGGCAGGTGGAGGTGCCTGCGGGTAGCCATGCGCAGTAAAGATCTGAGGCTTAGCAGGTTCCTGGAAAAAAAAAAGCGTAAGCGGGGGTTTTTCCTGGAAAATAGCGTGGCCGCGACCCTTACCTTTCGGATGTTAGACTGTCGAATTGGGGGAGCCATGGTGGGCCTGACTGGAGGGGGTGGGTTCTGCTCGTCCTCAGTCTTCCTCCGTTTAGACTCTGTGGCCTGATGAGGGGTTGGACGAGGCTGAGGCTCCTCATCCAATGCTCGTTTTGCCGGTTTGGCCGCATTAGTTGGAGGTTGCGTGATAGATCGACTAAAGGGCTGCGCTGAGCCCAGCCGCGATGGTGGCCGTGTAGGACCAAGATCAGCTCGCTGCGAGGACTGTGCACCCGCCTTTTCCTGCTGTAGAATAGAGCCCTGGAAGCTGGAAGTTAGAAAAAAAAAATGACAACCCGGCATTTCCGCATGGTCTTGTCTCGACTTACCAGGTCGTTAGCTGAGTTGGGCGGCTGGCTTCCCTGTCTCTCCAATCGGCGAGCATTTTCAAGCCTCCGTTGCTCGATTGCCTGCCTCTGGGCCGCTTTTTTAGGGTCGTCTGCTGCGAGACGTTCACGCTCGCGTCGTTCAGCCTCAGCGCGATTCTTAAGTTCTTGGCGACGCGCCTCTTCCTGTTGCTGCTGTTGGGCTGCTCGCTTGCGTTCCAGCTCCCGCTTCTGCTCCTCTTTACGCCGCGCCTCTCGTTCCTCCTATAGGATGTTAGCATTGTCAAATATCCGACGCTAAGCAGCCTTACCTGTTTCTTCTTTTCGGCAGCTAGTTGCGCTTTGCGCTGTGTCTGACTTGAGACCGAGCTCTTGAAGCTGCCACTGGACGCGGTTGTTTGCAAGGAGGAATTGCTGGCCTTCTTTGTTAGAGTCGGTTGCTTTTGGGCCGGAGCAGCTGCCGGAGTAGGTGCCGGAGGAGGATTCGACTCCTGTACGCTTGAGGATAGAGAAGTCGTTGAAGATAAGGGCATCTGGCGAGAGAGCGTGCTGCCGACTCGAATTGATACGGGTTGCGGTTTCGGCTTTTGTACGGGCTCCCTTGTAGGTTTCACAGGACGACGGTCATTCGACTTTGCAGGTTGAGGCTGAGGGTGGGAAGTGGGTGGCAGCGGAAACTTCGGCTCGGCCTCTGGGTTGGACTCGACTTCCTTCGAGGTCTGCACCTGAGGCCGTTGAGCCTTCTTTGAAGCTGCTCGGTTGGACGGAGCAGGCGTAGTGGTCTCATGGCCTTCTCGATCAGCAAGGGACTTTTCCTGAGCATTTGCGTGTTTGGCCTTTGATTCTTGAATTGCTGTCGTCTTCTCCTGCTCCCTGGACGTTTCGAAAAGCTCTTCTTGTCGCTGCTTGTGCTTCAGCTCAGTCTGCCTGCTCTTTTCTTCCGTTTCTGTCGCGTTTTGGGTTCGACCATGTTGCTTTAGCGGACTGGGCGTCTGCACCGTTCGCCTTTCTGGACTTCCAGAGAGGTTGCCGTGGTTGGTTTGTGACCGAGAGGCACTAGGAGAAGACGATAAGGTCTCCAATTTCGCTGCTGCTGAAACCCCAGCACTGCTTGTAAACAGTCCCTTTGCCGTCTTCATGAGAGATTGCAGCTTCGATTTAGACATGCTCAATGCACCATCGTTGCGCTTGGGGGAGACCGGAGGTGTTGTAGACTCTGCCTGATTCTGCGCCGGCAGCGTTTTTTGTTCAAAATCACCTCTGGTGCCTGGCCGTTGTGGCGATGATGGAATAGCCGCAGATCCTGTTTTTTGATGGCCTGCCATGTAGCCTGTAGTCTTGGTCAACGGCGAGTGCTTGTCAGAGAAGTCGTGGAACGTCTCTGTCCTTTCCAGCTTTGCTTTTTCAAGATTTCCAGCTGCATTGTGCCCGGCTGCATGCTCTATGGCATCTGTCGTATGACTCTTGGGAATGTTTGGCCGATGAGGTGAACTCAGTGTCTTGATCTCGTCACCCTCGCTGCTAACAGCAGGCTCGGGAGCAGGTGCAACGCGAGACTCGCGGTTAGATCCGTCCTGCTTTGCGTTTGGAAGCTCAGGGTAGTTGACTTGCGATGCAGCCAAATGTGATACCGAGGGTATCGACTTAGTCGTCCTGGATGGCTGGAATTTGCCGAGCAAGCTGATCTTTTCGTGAAGCCGTTGGGTAGAGGACTTGTGATGTAGCTTGGTAGTCTCCAGGTCCACGTCTGTATCCTGGTGAAGAGATTCTCCCTTTCCGTCAAGGTCCATCTTGTCTTCTACTTTCTGGTCCTCTGTCCCATCAGGCAGAGCCCGAGTTGTCCTTGTGCCACCGATCTGACCACTGAAATAACTGGGCCGTCCCGCATTATTCAGTTTTGTAATATCAACATGGCTGGTTCGGGAAATTCGGGCTCCACCCATGCTCTTTTTCGTCACCAGCGGTTCTCGTGCCGGTAGAGAAGCGAAAGTTAAGCTGCTCTTTCTAATCAGCGGTCGGTCTGGTGTGGAACCATCCGAGGGAGAGCCTATGTCGTCGAATTGATTATCGAGGACCATGTCTCCATCTTTGTCCTTCTTCTCAGCCGGCGCAGAGGGCTCTGGTTGAATGTCTGAGACTTCCTCACGTGAATGTACAGATGCCCGTGGTGGCTCTGCAGCCTTGACGATCGGACGAGGCGTGTCCTCGTCAGGCTTCATCTCCTGATCTTCATTTACATCAGCTGGTTCGACTGTTTCGCCGCGATGCTGGATGTCTTCTTGAGCGGAGTGGAAGGAGCCTTCGGTGGTGCGACGGTCCACTGACGGACTCTTCGCGTTGAGCGCGTCACGCTTGAAATCCTCTTCTACCGGCTGCTTGTCGTCCGGTTGCGTGTCGAACGGCTGCGTATCCAATGGCTGCGTGTCTAATGGCTGCGTATCTGACGGCTGCGTGTCTAGCGGCTGCGTGTCTAACGGTTGCATGTCTGTCGGTTGCGTGGAAGATTCTGCCTCAGAACGCATGCTTGGAAGGACCATTTCATCATCGTCTGGCATTCCGTGGTATCCCGAGTCAGTGTTGTAAGTCGAGAACGAGTTGAGTTTCTGGTTGGTTGTTTGTTCTTGCGATCGCTCCTTCCCCTTGGAGTTGTCAGCAGCTTTTACAGCTGCCTGATCGGACACGAGACCAGCTTTCGAGCTCGATTTGACCTGATTATGTGACGAAAAGATGTCGCTCAAAGGCTAAGTGATGGTCAGCAACAGCACAGAACGACTGCAACTGGAGAAGGGCATACCACTCGGACTTCGTCAGCATTGCGTTTGCGCGCCGTGCGGGGAGTTTTCCCTCGTAGTTTGCCCGGAGTCTTGAAAATTTCGGTCAAGTTGCTAAATCAGAGGTAGTCAGTAACTGAGTCGCACCCGGCCATCGCATCCAACATACAATTGATTCTTGGAGAATATCTCGGCCATGTGCTCATTCAGCCATTCCAACTCGTGCCGGACAGGAAATTCTACTTCCTCCATTTCCTGCTCCACCAGATTCATCACATTTTCCTTCTCAGCCGCGATCCACGCGGCGGAGCCCACGGGCTGATACGCCCTTGCTCCCGCGGCGGACATGGCTGTAAACAACGCGAGGCTGGCAGGGATGAGGGCAGAGGATCAGTCCCACGTGTCACTTCAGGCTTCCAAACCGGGACGAGAGTTCTGAAATGCAAGAAGTCAACTGGGAATCACATCGACACGGTTCCGGTTGGCGAACACAGAGAAGATGAGAGATGGTGGGCGGAAATCGATGGGAGTTGCAGCGGGCGCTTGGTGGTCTGGTTGCTCTTGCGCATCAAAACATTGGATCCGCATGACGCGCTAAGACTCGGGGTCACGTGAGTTAACGGCCTGACTCAACGCCTAGATCCTGAGGCAGCAATCTACACCTTCCTAGGCAGGCAGGCGTTCTGGGGACGGCGAATACGCCGAACGGGGTCCGGTTAGCATGTCGGCAAAGCGTGCGGAGGAGGATTACATAAACCCGGGCTACATTCCTCGGATTTAGAGGACTAGAAGTATGTATTCTTCTCCTGGAGTGTTATAAAGGAAGAATACTTTGTTACTTCCCTAGTAGTTACTATTATTTTGCATCGTGGGTAGCAAAGAATGCATATCATGGGTTCACGGCTCCTCTCTCGCGCGATAGGACGGTTCAGCCAACCACTACGATCCTGTCGATATGCACAACCCTCTTCAAAATCCCTGTTCCAGAAAAGAACATTTGTAGCATCTCCATCCCGGAGAATAATGGACACCAGTTGTTTTTCGGAGGATCAATTGATGGTGAGGGACGCCATCGCCAAGATCTGCTCGCAATTCTCCGATGTAAGACGAGAAATCCCGGAAATCTCCTCTCTATATTACACCTTACTGGATTCTTGTAAACGTGTCACATCGAAAGCTGAATCAACTTGCAAAAGGAATACTGGGCAGAGCATGACGAATCCGGGGAATATCCACATGAGTTGCATACGGCTCTGGCAAAGGATGGCTGGATTGGGATAGCCCTTCCAGAAGAACTAGGAGGAGCAGGATTGGGTATCTCGGAGGCGACAATGATGATGCAGACCATTGCACAGTATGTGAAGCATCCATTTTGTCCCATTTTCTGAACCATTGAACTGACGTCTATATCAGAAGTGGCGCTGGCATGGCTGGAGCCCAATCGATCCACGCAAACGTGTATGCAACACAAGTGAGTGGCCGCAACGATGCAGCATCTATACCGAGGCACTGACTCTGTGGTAGCCTGTTGCGAAGTTTGCTACCCCGGAGCAAAGGGAGAGGATGTTGACTCCGTTAATCTCGGGCGAAGCGAGGACGTGCTTTGGAGTGTGGGTGTCAGCTGACTCGGGGTCATTGGACCAGACTGACTGACCTCTGGGCAGGACAGAACCAAACACGGGACTGGAGACGCTGAAGCTCCGGACGCAGGCAGTGAGAGACGGTGATTTCTACCGGGTCTCGGGACAGAAGATGTGAGTTCCGCATCTTAAAGATGATATGGATGTTTAACCAACAACTCTAGTTGGATAACCAATGCCCAGGTGGCAAAGAAGATGGTCCTGCTGGCACGGACAACGCCCCTGGAGGAGGTGAAAAAGCCCTCGGAAGGATTGTCGCTCTTCTTCATTGATTTCGATAAAAACGCCCCAGGCTTGGACCTGAGGAAGATCAAGAAGATGGGAGGCCGGGCCGTCGATGCGAACGAGGTGTTTTTCGACAATTACCTGATCCCTGCCGACACCCTCATTGGAGAGGAAGGCCAAGGCTTCAAAATCGTACGGACATACATTTGCACCAGCACTCAGCGAGAAGTTACCTGACCCAAGACTGGAACAGGTCCTCCACGGAATGAACGCCGAACGATGTCTCTTGGCCGGAGAAGCCCTGGGACTCGGATATGTCGCGTTGGGGAAAGCCGCCAAGTACGCGAAAGAACGCATTGTTTTGGTCGTCCCATCGGACAGAATCAGGGCATCCAGCACCCGTTGGCGGACGCCTACATGAAACTGGAGGCTGCCAAATTGGCTACCTATCACGCAGCCAAGCTTTATGATGCCAGCCGGACCGACAAATCCATCTCGCCGCAGACTGTGGGTGTGGCGTGCAACTCAGCCAAGTATCTGGCGGCAGAAGCAGCGTTCACGGCATGTGAGAGGGCGGTATGTTCCCTGCATCTGGCCCTTTTGTCGAAAACTGTCGCTTACAAGTTCAGGTTCTCTCCCACGGAGGTATGGGCTATGCCCAGGAATACCACGTGGAACGTTATCTGCGCGAGTGCTTCGTTCCTCGAATCGCACCGGTCAGCCGGGTAAGTAGAAGTCTATCAGGAGGGAGAACTCTGCTGACACCTGGGTGCAGGAGATGATCTTGAATTTTGTCAGTGAGAAGGCGCTGGATCTGCCACGAAGCTACTGAGAGACGCCATATCGTGTATATAGATAGCTAGCTCCAGACTATTACTCTGTGTGCATAGTTGACGGTGCCTTCTGGCAGCAACTTGATACAAGAGCTAACTAGAAATATATATAAGCTGGGCTGGGCGGGTTGACAGTCCATTATTTCGGTTCACCCAACTGTCTGCCGAGCTCGAGTCACATGCAGAATAGAACGATGAAATCTTTCCAGTTAGCTGCGCTAATTGTCCTCGAATCCGAACAGACGGCCTGAGCGTGTTGTCGTAGAGCCTTGATGGCAATTATCGGCTGTAGACATGAAAAAATAGCTAATTGGGGAGGGTGCCTGCTTGTCTTCTCCTTTTTGACTGTCAGTTCGATTTCCTGCGATGACGGCATTTGATCCTTGCATTAGAGGAAATTAGAGGATTTAGATCTGTTTAGTGGCCTCGGTGGAACGTTCTTGCTGCCGTTCTGCGCAGGTGGTGGCCCGGCCCGCCGTGGATTTGTGGTTGCTCAGCAGAGAGCACACGACCCGGCGATTGCATCACTTCCCAAACAAGATCTCCGACTTGGCCTTCTTTTTGTTCTCCTTCATCCGCCGTCCCTTCTTTCTGCCCAAGTCATCGCCCCTGTCTTCACAGAAGCTGCCGTTTCTACCTCCCTTGTCTCTCGCTAGTTAGCACGACCGGTCGGCTTCCGCGCGCAGTCGTGCTGCTCCCCCTTATCGGACCGTCCACAAACCTTGCAGTGTCACGGCACACACAACAACATCCATTGCCAAAATGGCCGAACCATCCGGCGACGTGAGCTATCCCGTCGTCAACGGAGCCAGTAAGGTGTGTTTCCTCAGCGGTGACTTGGTCTTCTCGTGGTAGCAGGGCTGATCTCCCCTTTGTTGACAGTGCCTACCTCTTCGATTTTTTTTTCCGTTCTCCGACCGATGTACACCTAGCAGGAGATCCTCCATCGGAACGCTTAGGAAACATGAGATATAGAGATACTGGTGACCAATTACTGACGGATTTCTCTATAGATCCTGCTTCTGATGGCGTCAAAACCGAGGCTTCCAAACCCGGAGACGAGCTGCGTCGGGTTACGCCCTCTCAGACCACCTCGACCGGCCAACCCCTGACTCGTGCGTATACCGTGTCCTGGCCATCTCATGGCACTATAAGCTGACTCTGAGATTCCAGCCTACCACTCTCTGGTGTACAGTCTCTTGAGTGTGGGTTCCCCAATTCCGCGTGTTCCGGGTGAATTGGATCCAGCTGACATCGGTAGTGGGAACGCCCGCGGACTACTGCCATCTCTTTTGTCAGCGTAGTCAGTTTCATTCTCGCAGCTCGATACCTTCCTCTCTTGCGCTGGGTATTCAAGTTCCTCTATGTGTCCCTCGGAAGTGAGTCGACCAATGGCACTTTTTGTTGTTTCTTATACTGATCAATTGATTTTCAGCAATGGCCGCTCTTGAAGTCGCCGGCAAACTCGTCTTCTCCCAAGGCCTCGCGAGCTCCTTCCGTCCCCGCAAATACTACACGATTCCTAAGGAAACAATTGAAGGAGTGCTTGATGATCTCGAGCAGCTGTTTGACTTTTTCCTGCTTGAATTCCAGCGCACCCTCTTTGCGGAAAATGTCATCCACACGATTGCGGTATGTTGCTCAACGCCAGTCGAGACACGTTCGGAGGTGGTTCATAAGGCACCGAGTCTAACGCACTTGACAGGCCTTCTCTGCCGCTTTCGTCTCTTACTGGCTCAGCAAGATCCTGCCATTGTGGGGTCTGGCTCTGATTGCAGTGACCATCGCCTATCTGGGACCTCTTGTCTACATCAGCAACCGCGAAATCATCGATGAGCAGATCCACTCTGTGCAGCAGCTGATCAACGCCCAGGCGAGCCATGTCCGGGGTATTGCTGAGCAGCACACTGCTCACGCGACGGGGTTGGTGAAGCAGTACGCCAGCGACTACAGCGCCAAGGCTCAGGGATACATTCGTCGCTCGGCCACGCCTGAGGTGGCCAAGGCCCCTGCGTCAGGCACCACCATCAAGACTGAGCCGGTTTCTCCGCAGCCTAGCTTCAAGCAGTCTGACTTCCCGGAAGCGCCCAAGACGGAGCCCGTTGCTGCTGAGCCTGCCGCCGAGTCGTCGGCTCCTGAGAACAACCAGGAACCCCTTCTGGCTCTCTAATTGTGTGATTTGCGCTGGCTGGTTCACGGTTTACAGTCTTGTCAATGGTGGTCGGAAGGTTAATCGATGAATGGATCCTCAGTACGCAGCGAGGGTTGATTAGGTGTGAGGATGCTACGGCACCCATGACGAACGTCGAATTGAATAGAATTTTGTGGCGCTTGTATTTGAGTACGTCGGGTAATGGATGACGATGACAAGAAAAAAAACCAAAAAAGGAGGAAGTCCTAAGCATCGATCAGGCGGGAGACTGTATAATGACGAGGCGGCATGAATTTCCTTTTCCTTTTTTATTCACTCTTGTGAACTTGGATGGAATAACTCCCGAGCTCCGTTTTAGTGTGTTTTTTTCTTCATCTGCACTGTTTCCGCTGAAGTCCGGGTTATTTTTTTTATTGATTTTTATTTTCCTTTCTATTCTATTTTCCTTTCTGTTACTTACACTGTTTAAACCGTTTTGTAAGTTACTAACTTGTTATTATTGTTTATTGTTATTCTATCTGTCTACTTACTTACCTAGGTACCTAGTGTGATACGATAATCTTCATCAATCGTAACCATTCATCCGTGTCTATGGTAGTGATCTATCTATCTGCCTTTTCTTCTTTTTTTATTTATTTATTTGTTTATTTATTTATCTATATATTCTGATTGATTGATTGCAGTAAGTACATACGGAGTAATATTCCGTTGAATCCGTCCATTCATTCATTCATTCATTCATTCGATTCAGAACCTTGAATTTATTTAAAAGAAAAGAAAAAAAAAGTATATATAAACGAAGAATGACGAAGAAGAAAGAAGACGCAGTTAGTTTATTTAGATACACTTTGATGATAAGTGAAGTAATTAGTATACGGAGTACTACTCAATTAAGGGTTTTTCAAACAAATTAATTTAATTTAATTACCTAGGTACCTACCTACCTTTCTCCTATAATTAATTAATTAATTATTTTTTCCCCTCATGAGCTATTTATTTATTTATTATTCTCCTGCACATGTAGACGAGATGTGTAGATATGTAGGTAATTTAATTAATTAATCAATGATCTTTCTTTCCTTGATTTTCCCCCTTTTGATGCACAGCAACACAACACAATACAATACAATATAATACAAAAATACAATCTTGGGAATCAATTCCATTCATTCATTCATTGGTTTTAAAAGAAAAGAAAGGGAAATAAAACGATAAAATAATAATATTAGTAGAGTAAAATAAGTAAGTAAATGAATTCAAGGACGCCTCCCTGTCTGCCTGCTCGTCTGCTTGTTTCCCTGACTATCTGTTTCCATGCCTGTCTATCTCTCTTCGTCGTGGTTATTGTTCTTTCGTGTCTTATTTTTTTTCCTCTCTTGTTCCGTTTTTTTTGGGTATTTTGTATACAAAGTTCTTCGAATTTGAGTCTTTCTTTTCTTTGCTTTGAGTTTCTTTGAGTTTCTATTTCTGTTTCTGTTTCTGTTTCTGTATCTTATCGATCGATCGATCGAGGTGCGTTGCTCGTCTCATCGCATGGAAATAAAATAAAATCATATGGATATGGTTTCGTATTCTCTCCCTCTTTCTCTCTGAGAAGCTGTTCGTTCGTTCGTTTGTCTGTGTTGTGTATTTCGTGTTCGTGTTTCTCGAGGATTTAAATGATTCATCATTCCGTCGGAGGAAGAAGAGAAGAAGAGAAGAAACGAAGAAAGTAAAGAAAGAAAATCAAGCAGAAGCACGCCGACGACGCTTGCGTCCGTGTCCGTGTTCGTGTTCGTCGTTTTTCTTCCTTCCTTCTTCGTCTCCATGTCCATGTCCATCGCCATCTCTAGTCCTTGCTGCTTGGAGAACTGAGGATCCGCTGTTACTAGTATTTTCCTCCTGCTGCTGCTGCTGCGTGTGCAGACTCAACAGGGCATGAGCGGCCTTGACTTCTCGGCTGAGCAGGCTCCTTATCGTCGTGGATGGAGCTGCTGCTCGCATTTTCTTTCGTGCTGTTTTTCTTGTTGTTTGTGTCTGTGTTCGTGTCCGTATTCTTCGCGTCCGCTCACTCTCGCTCTCGCTCTCGGAACAAGATGAAGAAGAAGGCGGACTGATGGAGCGGTGGCTGGCCGAGGAGGTGGAAAAAGAGGATGAGATAGACGATGCATCTTCGTCCATGTACTCCTCATCGTCGTCATCATTGTCATTGTCATTCTCATCGTCCTCATCCTCATCAACTTCTCCCTCGCTGTCATCATTCTCATCGTTGAGATCGCTTTCGAAGCCGCTGGGTGATCGAATTCGATTGCTGCTGCTCTCAGAAGAAGACAGGGTGGACAGCAATTCGGAGTCATCATCATCATCAGAAGAAGAATCCGCTCCATCATCTTTCTCGGACTCTGCTGCAGCCGTTCTTTTCGCCCCTGAATGTCCGCTAACGCTAGAGATGGATTCCAGAATCTCCCGCGGCGAGGGAAGGTTACTCTGTCGACTTGCGGCCCGGCCGCCTGTCGTCTGTCCTTGGGCTTGGGAACTGCGCGTGGCATTGATCGGCGTGAAGGAATTGCGAGGTGTCGGTGAAGAGATGCAATACGAATCATTATTATTGCCCTCGCTGTCTGCGTCCTCATCAACTCTCTTGTCTGCTACTTCCGAGCGGTTATTCTGGCTCCTTGACAGGATCCTCTTCCTCGGAGAGTCATAAGTAGTAGTAGTACCTGCCGTCGCGCTCTGCGCAGCTGGTCTTGCAGCATGCGAGGCGGAAGAAGAGGAGACCGACTTCGCTTGCAGCTCGAGCTCTCGGTAATAATTCGCCGATTCGGTCGCCCTTCGCACGATGGCAGGATCGATGATCATCTTCCCGAAATGCGCTCCATTCGGAGGGATGCACATCGCAGGAAAGTCGCGTCCAAAGAGAGGCGTGAGGGCGTACCGTATTCTCCAGCAGAATGTCGCGGCGACGGCTTTGGCGGCCTCGAATGGCATCCAGTAGCCTTTCAAACATTAGTTTTGAAGAACATAAAAACAAAGACCTGGGGAATATAAATTACATACCCTGCGCAGCTAGAGCTCCCCCAGTAATGCTGTGACAGATATCGCGAAGACCAGGGTTCGCATTGAGCATCTTCGCCGGTGTCGTCTGCGCGAATCAGCCGAGGGAAGCTGACTGCTGGAACAGCACTTACCTTGGAATAGTCATTGCATTTGAAGAGATGAGTCGTCCGAACAAGACCAATGTTGTAGTCCCACATGACGGTCCATGTCTTCTCTTCTCCGGGAATCCTGAAGGTGTATTGGAAGACTGTCGAATAGTATTCCAGTCATTCATTAGGGTAATGCTAAACAAAAAAAAATCTTCATGTTTGTCTGGAGCCTACCTTCGAAACTCTCTCTCCCAGTCTTTTCAAGAAACGACTTCTTCTCGCTATTGTAAGGAATATGCCTCGGAAATTCCGCGATCTGGCCCATGGGATGAATCTGGAATCGGCGGTGCTCCTCCGCCAACTTGGCGTCCTGATACTCGCAGGGAGGGTATCGCAGCTCCCCGCGGACTTTGCCTCTGATGAAGATGGGGACGTCCTTGGGCATTTTCTGTCTCTTGGCGCGAGGATGATGGTAGGCCGGCCTGTCGTCCCTGTCCCTGGCGCGGTTTGTCTGGGAAGAAGAAGAAGACGAAATCGGCAGTGGACCACCACCGCGACTGTGAGAGGATTCCGGCAGGGGATTGAGCAATGATCTGATGGATGCCATGAACCTGTATCTGATCTGATCTGCCAACGGAGAATCCTTGCCAAAGGGCACCTCGGCTCAGAACGATATTTAAAAACGTCTTGTCTGGAAGAAGTCTTTTGACTTGTAATGCGAATCTTGCTATTATTTGACAAACGCGAGGGCGAAGACGACTCTTAAACCTCTCGAGAAGAAGCACCAGAACAGATTTCTATGAGAGGAAATTATGTCAGGAAAAAACAAAGGGGGATCAGCGAGATCAAAGACAATAACAACAACAAAAAAAGAGCTATTGATCGATACAGATTTCCGGCACAGGTGTCTGAGATGCCTAAGAATCATTTAAAGAATCATTACGCAGTGAGTCAAAGGGAGAGAGAACCATGAAGGTCATCAATCCATGGGGAGCGAGCGCATACGGCAGCAGTCATGGCCTTTGTCATCTCCATCCTGTCTAAGATCTGGAGAAAGTGGATACCCAGTGACATCTCATGGAGGAGGTGTAGCCTTTTTCTCCTGCGTCTGTTTGTCCGGCCAAAAGAGGGAACGGCAACAGCCACTCAGATGCCATATTAGCCGTCGAGGCAAATGGAGCCTGCCTGAGCAGCGGTGAATGATGGATGAGGGCTTTTGGGTCGGAAGTGCGGTCTGATGTCTTAGGAGCAGGTATCGCTTTAAAAGCATCTTGTCTGACTTTCAAGCTGTCATCCTGGGAAGGGCATGGCCTGGCCCAGTTTATTACCCGGAAATCTAGCCATGCGCACGACCCTCCAAAACATTGTTAACTCAGAGAGAAAAGCTCTGACCAGGTGGTCTGTCATTCTCGAAGCCCCCTCGATCGGTAGGAAAGTTAAGGCCTGGCATTCCTTCATGAAACGTACGATTGCACCAGGGAGCTAGTTCTCCTGTCGAGTTCTCACCGTTTGAAATCCCCATCTGCAGCGAACCGTGGCAAGAAGGATCAGCGCAAGCTTCCGCAACTCTGTCTCGTCAGTCCGTGATGACTGGGTCGAACCTCTAGCTCCTTTGAATCCAGATTTCGCCTGTTCCCTCAAGGTTGAATCAACTGCCCCTGCGACGATCTGAGAGGCTTAGTCGGACAAAATAGATGTGAAACTTCCCAGAAAAAAAGTGGCTGAAGACAAAGAATTGATGAATTGGTGCAGGATAGGCGCATAATATGGTATCATTAATAGCCAAAGGCCCTCGTAGACCTGTGTCCTTTGATACTCAGCACTCTGACCTGTCTTATGTTCTTGGCCGGATCTTGGTATAATACATCATTCATTTTGCACGAGTTTCTGACGTAAGGACATGACCGTAATGCCGGGTTCTGGCGACAAGGTTCCGGTACATGTACCAGCGGAGCGGAAGCTCGCATATCTGCTCGTATCACAGGGGGTGCTCGCCGTTTTCCTGCAGGAGGCTGGAGATCCCAAGGAGGAGAGAACAAAAAGAAAACAAAACAAATAATGCACGGACAACAATGAGAAGAAAAATATCGAATCTCCTGTAGGTAAAGTGGAAATCTCAGCTCTTTGAGGCGAGCTGAAGAATCCTTGGAATTCGGTCAACTGATATGTTTCTTGTCCTTGGCGGTTTGTTTATCCTGACTGACTGCTTATCAATGTCTTGTCATGCGTAGAGTCTAGTTGGCATCTTGTTGAGGCTGGAAGCTAAGATGTTTCTATTCATGCTTCCATGCATGCAGGCGGCCGGCAGATGCCAGGAAAATTTCCGAAATGTGGTCAGTGAGCGTGCCTGTCGTGGCCCTTGGGTACTTCTCCCACAGATAGCTGGCATCTTAGAACCCATGTCCTGAAACAAAAATAGATTTGTTGGGGAAACTTACGATACTCTCCACTGCTCACATCTGGGGTCCTCCAAGTCGGGAAACAATACAATCAAAGCCATGCACGAACTGTGAAAATAAGATAATATTTGCTAAAAGAGTCAACTTATTACTACTCGAACTTACAATCCACGAATACTGTCCATAAAAAAAAGGGGGAAAAAAAATAGAAAGAAAGCAAAGAAAGCCAATACATGCGCCAGGATCATCCACCTCAGACCTCAATATCAGATAGAAAAAAAAGAGAAGGGATTTATCATGAGTGTTCCATATTGATCGGAGCATAAGAAGATTGCAAAAAAAAAAAACGACAGAAGACCAGTAGGACGAATTTTTAAGAGCTGATAAGATCACAGCCGAAAGATGGCAGAGCAAATCCCTGTTAATAGGTACTTGGAAGCTTCACCTATTCGGATTCTTCGAAATCATCTCCCGAATCCTCATCAGCGGGTTCACTCATCTCACTGTCATCGTCAATCACGTAGGTGGGCTTCTTGGCCGTGGCAGCGGCACGCCGGGCAGGTCTAGACCGAGCCGGAGGCGCGTCGTCGTCATCAGACTTGTCTGCCGCGGGCGAGTCAAGGATGTCGTTTGCCATCGCATCAATATCGTCGTCAGAGAGGTCATCTGCAAGCTTCTTCTTTGCCTTCCCCTTTGCAGCGGGGGCAGATTGGGTCTTCTTCGCGGCCGCAGCAGGAGCCTCCTTCGTGGCGTCTTTCTTGGGACGGCCACGAGGTTTGCCGGTACCAGACTTAGCCGTGCTGGCAGCTGTCGGCTTCGCCTTTGTGGCCGCCTTGGACTTGGGCGCCTCTGGTTTAGCAGACTCTCGATCTTGACCATCGTCATCATCTGCAGCCTTCACATCCTTGGACTTTACTTGTAGAGATCGACGGGGTGTCTGCGAAGGAACGAGCTTGCTGTAGTCTGTGTCGTCCGGATCGAAGTCGCTAGTGGCCTTAGATGGCTTCGCGGTGGTCTTGAGTCCGGAACTACTGCCAGGTCTGGAACGCTCAGAGAAGAGAGTCCTCGTATCCGAGGCGGATTTCCCATCTCCAATGCCCTTGACCATTTTGCTCACGTCATCAAGCAAGGCATCACCATTATCGCTGTCCGAGTCGCTTGATTCAGCGTACTTGACAGGTTTACGATTTGCCCGTCCTTGCGACTCGGCTTTCGGTTCTGCCTTGACAGCCGACACCTCGACGACATCTTCATCGGACTCCTCTCTCTCTTTCTTCGGCTCTTCTTTCGCTTTCGGCGCCCCACGATTCTTCTTTGGCAGGATCTCGGCTTCGAAGTCATCGTCGTCATCGTCATCATTATCATCATCTGGATCGTCTGCGCCATCATGGGGAGCCTTCTTAACCGGCTTCTCAGAGGACTTGTTCAGGTAATCTAGAAGACCTCCCTTGGGCTGGACCTTTTTCACGGTCGCGGACTTTTTGCTCTTCGGAGCCGCGTAGTCTTCGTCATCTGGGTCATCACCAAGAGCCTTGCGTTTCTTGGCGGCTGGAGCACGGCCACCGCCTGTCATGAGCTTGGATGATGCACGGCGACCCATGCTCGCAACTTTCTTCTCACGTCGTTCCTCTTCTTCGAGCTGGAATCGCCACTCAGCCAGGAAATCATCAAGGTCCTTCTTCCAGATATCCTCCTTGGAAAGCTTGATCAGGTTATCGATTTCCGTTTCTTTCTCGCCGATTTGGCGACGGAGTTTCTCTACGCGTTCTTGCGTCAAAGACCACAGCGGCATCTAAATGACGAGTTAACCAACCCAGTCCTTCCAATGGAAAGGAGAAGAAGAGAAGAAAAACTTACCCCAAGCAAATAGTCATATGCGTCTGAGGCTGCCTCGGTCTCTTCCAAACTCTCTTCTTCCTCGTCAACAGTGGGCTCAGTTTCACCCGCCTTGACTGCCTCGATGACCTTGGGGATAGGCTTGAATCCTTTCTCCTTCAATTCGGCAATGAGAACCGATTTCTTTTTCTTCGAAATGACCAATTTCCCATCAATGATCATTTGGACGAAGCGAGCTTGGTTGGTGAGTTTATCTAAGTCCTTTTGGAGTTCGTTCAATTGGTATTGCTGACGGTTGTTAGTTGAATGGCCTTTATCAGAATCTTTACGAAACTTACCTTCCGCTTTTCATAAAACTTGATTCGGACGGCATAGAATTCCTTGAGGATGTCGTCGACCGTATTGTACTTGGTGATTCGACCCTCAGGATCGAAAGCTACCAGGTTCGTGGTTGCGATGGTCTTCGACAACTTGAACTTCTCTTCCAAGCCCTCCTCCAGAGCGGCCTTCATGTGTTTTTCATCCATCTGGATGACGAAATGGACTTTGGTATGGGTGTTGTAGTCCTTGTAATCCTTGATGAACGACGGCGCCTTCTCGGCCTTGATGATTTCTTCCAGCCGGTCTTTGAAGTCCTGCGTCCACATCCGGATGGGAAGCTCGGTGATTTCCACTTCCGTATCGCCGGTTTGCTTGATGATGCCGCTGAATTTGAATCGATCGGGGCCCAGAGGTGTAACCTCACCGGTAAAACCGCGGAACCACGGTTGCATGGGTTCGATGGGCTGCCCGTCCATCATTCGCTTCAGGTTGGCAACAATGTCCTCCGGATTGTAGTTAGGAATGGAAGAACTCCAGCCAGTGCCAATACCATCGGCACCATTGATCAGAATCATCGGCACCACTGGTACATAGACTTCAGGCTCAATCTTCTCTCCGTCATCTTCATTGTAAGTGAGCAGTGGCTCATCGGCCGGGTGGAAGATCTTCCTGGCGAAGGGCGACAGCCGTGTATAAATGTAACGAGCACTAGCGCAATCGGATCCTCCTTGAAGACGACTACCGAAGTTACCACTGGGTTCCAGGCAGTTCACGTTGTTGGAGCCCACGAAAGTCTGCGCGAGACCGACGATGGTTTGCTGCAACGAGGCATCGCCATGCTGATACGCCGTCATTCCAGACACGTGACCCGCCAACTCAACGACCTTGATGTCCTTCCTGATATTGCGCCGGAAGCAGGTATAAAGAACCTTACGTTGACCGGGTTTCAGGCCATCGACCACCGACGGAATAGATCTCTGGTTGTCGGCAATGCTGAAAAGGATGAGTTCCTTGTTGATGAAATCGGAGTAGGTGATCTTCTTGGCGGAGTGATCGAGGTACGTTCCGGGCTTGAATTGGCGCAGCCATTCCTTACGCTCGTCGGCTTTCTTCTTGGAGAAAGCCAGGTCGATCAACTCTGCCTCATGGTCCTGCATGGTGTGGAACTCCTTCAGGTGCTTATCAAGGTCTCTGAAGTAGATCTGCGCATCTTCCGTGGTACTGGTACCCAGACCCTTGTAGTACTTGTGCTGCCAACCGCGTTCGTGCTTGTGTGCCTCCTTCCACGCTTCGTACTCGGGCATGGTGAAAAAGGAGATGGATTTGGTCGGGTTCTTGGGATCGCCCTTCCAGACCTTGACAATTGGCGTGATGAACTCGATCAAGAACTCCGGAATCTTCAACAAGCTAGGGAATTGGCACTGAAGGAAGTTGATCAACAGACCCTTGATATGGCTTCCATCGTGATCCTGATCGGTCATGATCATGAGGTGACCATATCGCAAGCCTTTAGTGTCTGTATATTCCTTTTTATGCTGAAGACCAAGGAAGTTCTTTATATTCTGGATTTCCTGATTCTTGGAAATCTGATCAATCGACGCGTCCCGAACGTTGAGAAGCTTTCCTCGGAGGGGGAACACTCCGAACAAGTCAGGGCCAACAACGGCACGACCGGCCATGGCCAAACCCTTGGCAGAATCACCTTCCGTCAGGATGAGAGTACAATGATGGCCTTCCTTCGTTCCAGCCTTGTTGGCGTCCGTCAGCTTGGGATTGTTCATGCGAGATCGTCGGTTGCCGTCTGACTTCTTTAAGATTTGATCGGCCTTCTTCTCTGCAAAGTGGAGAATGTTCGTCATGACCTCCGTCTTCAAGATTTTCTTGTAGAAATCCTCGTCAAGCTGGCATTTGCTGCCAAACTGGCTTGGCTTTGTCGTCAATTGTTCCTTGGTCTGAGAGTTGAACGCCGGGTTGACGATCAAACAGTTGATGAACAGGAAGATATGGTTCCGGATCTGCGACGTTTTCAAGGTTGCTCCATTTTTGTTCTTCTTTTTCACTACTTCAGCCAGACGGTTACAGATCTGGTCAGCGATATAGTTGACGTGGGTTCCACCAGAGGTTGTCGCAATCGAGTTGACAAACGACACCTGCTGGAAGGAGCCATCAGACACAGCGAAGCCGATTTCCCAACGCGGGTCCGGGCTGGTTGTCACGATCTCGCTTTTGTCATTGGCTGCTTCTTCGCCCCGTTCGTTCTTGATAGCCTTGGTATACATCTCCATGTACTTCTTGAAGTTGCGCACAGGAATCCGGGTTCCGTTCAATTTGACCGCCACCTTGGTGGTTCCGGCCAAGTCGTAGACGCGTCGCTTGACCAGAGCCTCGAAATCATCATCCATGCCAGTCATGCCAAACTTGGCATAGTCGGGCTTAAAGGTCACTTTCGTGTAATCTTCACCTTTGCATTCGGTGATCTTGGCCTTGCCCATCTTACTCATATTGTCCGTCCATGTCTGCTTGTACTTCTTCCCCTGGCGCGAATCGTACGTTTCGATTGTGAACTCGGTGGAGAAGACGTTACAGAGTTTGGCACCAAAACCGTTTCGACCACCGGTGACTTTCTGCTGCGTGTCGTCATAGTTTGACGAGGTCAACAGGTGACCGAAAATCAGTTCGGGAACGTAGATTTTTTCTTTCTAAACAATACTATCAGCACCGCAGGCGATACACCAAAGTTGGGGATTTGTTGAGGGGACGTACTGAGTGAATCTCAACCGGAATACCGCGACCATTGTTCCAGACACTGATCTCTCCGGACTCCCGGTCGATGGTGATTCTGATCTCATCCATATTGGGGTCGTTTTGCTTGTTGTCCGCCGCATTGACGACGATTTCGTCGAAGATTTTGTACAAACCAGGGACGTAGGTGACTTCACGATACTCCATGGATTCGGTCGCCGAGTTGAACACCCACATCTGCGTCGTGGTGGCCTCAGTGGAGCCAATATACGTATCTGGACGTTTGATAATGTGTTCTAATTGGGTGAGCTATATAAGAGGTCAGCCAACCAGCCCGGATGAAAGTTGAGACATGAGGCAGAGTAAATGGTCTACCTTCTGGTATTTGTCTGCAGCTCCGGATGATTTCGAGGGTGCGGGCTCATCCGCACCGTCCGCTCCAACCGACTCGTTGGAGACGTTTGCGAGAGGTTTGGAACCGCCCTTTTTGGGACCGGGGGCCTTCTTCGCCTTCTTCGCATTCGGAGGGGTGCTCGAGAGCACCGAATCATCGACGACGTCGTCATCGTCGTCATCGGGTTCTTCGTCCTCAGGATCAGGTTTTGCGCGCTTCTTAGAAACAGGTTTGACATTGAGCGTGGTCTGCGTCAACTTCTTGGGGCCTCGTTTGCCGGCAGCCGGCTTCGATGCTTTCGCTTTCGACTTCTAATTTGATCGAGTCCATCAGCCACAACAAAATCACCGACCGACAGACATTGAGAAATCAGAATGGGGAAGCATACCGTCGCCACCTCTGGCACGTAATCAGAGCCATCGTCCTCAAAGACGGAGTCTACCATCGAGTCGTCCATGGTGGGTACAAGCGCTCCAGGCGAGGTTGTAGCGAGGGAAATCCAAAAGGATCAGCGAAAGGAAGGGAAGGGAAGAGGGGACAGTCAGCAACAGAGGATCAGAAGACACCCTTCATCCCATAACCCACGGAAGACCAGTGGGATGCGTGAATGACGAAGCTGCTGCTGTGACTGTTTGGCGTTTGTTGACTTGGCGCGAGGACGCGCTGCAGTCGCGGTTGCTCAATGCAGGATCAGCAGCCGGATCAATGTTGTTCCTTGCCACATGAGACAGGTGACTAGCCGGATCGGGCAAACCACAAATAAAGGCTGCCAACCCCACCGGCAACACGCTGCAAAAAAAGAAAAAAGAAACAGACGCTGCACGAGGCCGGACCCGCGGCAGCGGGGGAGCCAGCAGTCATGGCTTCTTAGCAGAGAACTTCCGCCCATTTGATGTCTGCAAGCAATCATAGTGAAACTGCTAACGCTAGACGTCACTGTTATTTTTTCACCCCAGACCTGGCAAATGTTGTGATTCTACATGAGGAAATTCTCATTTCAGTCTCCATTCTTCGACTATGGCTGCTGCTAGGTTACTGTCTCACCAGTGCGCTTCATGAGTAAGGTGTATCTGATATTCCCCCACTTGGAAACCTTCGGTGTTAAAGAATGTAGACTCTTCTGGTACTGTAGTCTGTACGTCCAGTTCACTGTCACCTGATGTCACCTGACTTATATCTGGTATACGGTATCAGAGGTCTCTGTAATTAATTCATGGTGATAACTCAGCTTCAACAAATCAATATTTATATTGGGTGATGAAGATTACTGGAAGCTATAGCAAGCTGTCGAGTAATGCAGCATAGCACACTTGTTGAGTCCTGCATAATATATATATGTCGACAAACCATCCACAGTCAACGTGACCGCGCAGCGTTTCATCCTCCATTGGTAAAAACACTAAATCCTCGCATCCTGTGCCAAGCGTTTCACAGACAGTATCTGTTACTTCGTAGAAATTAGAATTCGAACTGCTGGCTATGCGCATGATGAGTACTCCGTATCTAAGAATGCTACAACCTGGCCAATTGTGTCTTCTGCTAGGAAGGTTGGTGGGAGGTACAATTGCTACAATTAATCAGAATTCAGAACAGAGATGCATTTGAGTTCTGTGATAACTGATAATCAGTACTCCGTACTGCATGCACTCTTAGTGACTGACAGAGAATACTCTGTAGGCCGAGAGCGGCTAGTCGACTGCAGCGGGGTGTGCAGGCAGAGCGGGAGGCTGGAGGACTCCCATTGGCCAATGGGCTGGGCGGTGGGGGACGCTATACGCCGCCGATCTGATAGACTCGCCCACAACTCCTCCCATCGGGCCGTCCGCGGCGATCCAGGAGACGAGAAGCACGAATGTCCGTTGCATCGATGCCAGAGGGCTGAAAGAAAAGATGAATACGAGCGCGATCATGCCCGCGCAGAGATTGGCTGGATGCTGGCCGGGCCCAGGCGGAGAGGGGCGCACGTTCGAATGGGGTTAGCTGGGTAGGATTCTGGAACTGCTAGCGAGGCCTCAGGGGCGCCATCCTGCAGGGGCCAGCCTCCAGTTAAGCTATTCGGAACCTCACGTCGCAGGCGACTGGCTTCCCTGGTTCCTAGCCCGCGCTAGTCGAGGGGCCTGCGGAGCCCCTAATCTGCACGCCGGCCGCTACCGCTGACCGCCAGGAGACGCCCGAGTCGATGAAACCGCCGTTGGCCCAGGCCAGAGGTCCCCTATCCTCGCGCTGCAATGGCCCTGCCTGGCCCTCTTTTTCGCGTTCCATACGCTCGTTTGGCCCTTCGGAACGTAATCGTCGCAGGCGGCACCTGGCCTTCTCGTCGCTCCCCAGCAATTCGCATCGTCTGCGTGGTGGGCTCGCTCGCCGGATTACAGGGCTAGCCCCTCGATAAAGAATACCTGCGAGAGACAGACGGCCCTGACAGACCCTGACTCACCTGAGTCACCCTCCCTACCGTCATACTGGATGTTCTCCGTGTGGCTGCGTCAAACTTCTGCTGAGTGATGCACCCTGAATGCTTCAATCAACGCCGTGTCAGACGCAGCAACATCGGTCATGATGGATAATAATATCGACTCGAGATATTCTCGCGCTGACACGGATGTGTCGCCCGTCACGACCGACTCGATGGTCACTGTCCCGCTTTCAGACCGACAATCCAATCCCAATGGCGTCTGTCACGACTCCAGGACGCTTGATATTCCGGAAACCCCCATCGAGGAGAAGGTGGACGGAGAAGGCTTGATCAGCGAGGATGGGGAGAATCCACTCGAGACGACTCCTAAGAATGAGGATATCTTCACGCCAGCTCCAGAGACCAAGGAACGCAGAGAATCAGCGTCATCGGCGAAATCCCAGAGCAGTCGGCAAAGTCAGGAGGAACCAGGCTCCCCAGCCGAGAGTGACGGCGTCGACTGGGCCAAGTTGGACGAGACAGAGGAGCAGGAACCGCGCAATGAAGCCACAGATGAGGTTTGTCCAGCAAACACCAGAATCCACGGGAGAGAAACTAATTTGAGATGCGAATGATCTAGTCAACGGCATTGCTCCTCGCTCGCCTGGAACAGGAGAACAATGCCCTCGTGACGAACCCCAAATCAGGCCTCGCCAACGCCGCTCGACCGCGTCGCCCGTCCCGTCCTCCGTCGATTCAGCAGCTCAAGAGACTCGTCAACGATCACAGATCGTCGCTCCGGTACTCCCAGCTGCCTCCCCCTCCCATGACGGAGCTCGAGTTCTGGGCCGCCTTGGTGGCAGACTACCCCATGACCGCCCAGAGACTGCCCACCTTGACGTCCAACAAGATCCGCGCCGGTGTCCCGCCGCCTCTTCGCGGTGTGGTATGGCCCAGCATTGCCGGCGCTCGAGATACGCAACTACTCGAGGACTTCCGGCGTCTGAGCGGCGAATCCAGCCCGTACGAAGGCTTGATCGGCAAAGACATTGGCCGGAGCTTTCCCAACGTGGAGATGTTCAGGGATCCCAACGGCGAGGGACAGCAGATGCTGGCCCGGGTGCTGAAATGCTTCAGTCTCTACGATACCAAAATCGGATACTGCCAGGGCCTGGGATTCGTGGTTGGGCCTCTGCTGATGCACATGTCCGATGCGGAGGCATTCTGCGTGTTGGTGAGGTAGGCGACGATCCTAATAGATGATCTACTGGCGGCGTTTGCAGATGGACTGACAAGGTCTCCAGGCTGATGGATCATTATAAGCTGCGATCATGCTTTCTCCCCGATCTGTCGGGACTGCATCTGCGAATATACCAGTTCCAGAGTCTGCTCTCCCGCCACCTCCCCTCCCTTTACGCCCACCTGGAGTCATTGCATGTCGAGCCGGTCTACGTATCGCAATGGTTCCTGTCCTTCTTTGCAGTTACGTGTCCTTTGCCGATGCTTCTCCGGATTTACGATGTTTTATTATTGGAAGGAGCCGCGGAGACCCTGATGAGAGTTGCGTTGTCCCTGATGCAACGAAACGAAAAGAAGATTATGGCTTGTACGGAATTCGAGGATGTATTGCAGTTGCTCCTGTCCAGGAATATGTGGGATACGTAAGTTTCTCGGATGAATTGGGGATTTATTTTCATGAATACAGGCTGACGTCTTGCGCTGCCAGTTACGGGTGGAACGCGGATGATCTGGTGAATGACTTTGTGTCTTTGACCCCGCTGGTGACCAAAGAGAGTCTCCAGGCATTGGAAGCAAGCTATAACCAGTCGCAAGGCGTCTCGACGGGAATCTCATTTCCTCAAATGCAGGCAGCTGCATCTCGGTTCCTGGGGAGATTATGGGCCGGCTCCAACTCGCATAACTCGGCCAAATCTCTCAACTTGAACCCTCCTAATGCAGCGCGTCCTGAGAGTACGGTTCGACGTTCGCCCTCGAAGCAGAGCATGGCGTCCACGCTCAACTCAATGGAGTCCGCCTCTTCCGAGGCAAGCACCGCCGCCACCGAAGTTTCCACACCCAGCGGTGGTGATTCGGCCAAGATGCGCACGAAGTCGGGACTGTCTCATAAAGACAAGGATCTCCACGGCCAGATCGAGGATCTCTTGATGGCATTGGGCGATCTGCAGCGCGAGCAAGCAGAGTTGGCGCGAGAACTTCAGCGAGAGCGCGAGGAGCGCGAGGAGGACCACGAAGTCGCCAAGGCGATGCTTGCCTACATAAAAGACTTGGACAACAAAGAGGATTCCGAGGAGCTCATCGCCAAGGCGGAGGAGCGATTTGCGGCCACGTCCAAGCGGGTGTCGATCATGCAGACGAAACACCAGCTGCGAGACGAAGCCAACCGATGGAAAGAAAAGCACGACGTGGAGGCGGCGCGCTGCCTCGATCTGACGAGGCGCATTGACGAGTTCGAAATCGAGAACGCGCGACTGAAGGAAGACCTGCGGGAAGCGCGGCAACGGATCCAGGACGGCCACCGCGATCGGCAGAGGCTGGAGAGGACGATCCAGGAATTGCGGCATCGCAAGTACTCGCATTCCGACAGCACGCATGATTCGTCTTCCGGCGAGTCCAGCGACGTGTGGCCGTCGCCCGGTCTGCGAGAGATCAAACTCGTCAGCCGAGCGGGATCTCAGAAGAGCAACAAATACCCCAAGCGCAACAGCAGTCTCGGTCTGCAGAGCGTGCCTGGAGGCGAAAGCCAGGCTAATAACAACGCACCAGCAGGCTCGGGTTCGGGCTCGAATTCCGAGGACGCGTTGCTGCTAGAGCTGGTGAACGCCAAAACAGCCGAAGCCGTCGCCAAGCAGGAGCTGGAAGAAGTCAAGGCGAAACTGGACTCGCTGAGACGGCTGATCAGCAACCAGGCCCCGACGACACCTCGACCCAGCGTGTCGACAGAATTGAGCAGTCATCATGGTGGAAGCAGCCCCAGAAGCTCACCAGAGCAGAGCAAGGCATCGACTCTGTCGTCAGGAGGAGGTGGAGGAGGGGGAGGAGGCTTTTTTGGATGGGGGAAACGAACCGTGTCGACGGCAAGTTTCTCCTAGTCAGTCGACAGGTGAGACGCCCTTCATGCTCACTCCTTCGCTCTCCCTCTTCCTCCTCTCCCTCCTTCCCTCCTTTCACCTCCTTCTCTGATGTTGTCCTTCGCAAAATGTTGTCATTGTCTGTCGGTCAATACATACATACATACCTTTCATCTGCTCTGCTCTGCTATGCTACGCGTCTTGGATTGTAGATCTTTGTATACACATGTACTGTATGTACATATATGTACATTCCATGTACCGTGTACCGTGTACCGGTGTACCCACCATCAATCGTTTTGTCTGTGTCGAGGATCCTTTCTTGTGTCAATGGTTCTTTTTTTTTCTTCTAGATTCCCCTGTCTACTGTCTACTGTCGACATCGTTGTGATTATTTTTGACCAGGTTTTGTTCGTTCTGCTCTTGGAATGAGAGAGACAAGGGCAACAGATGACACTATTATTACACAGTATTATTTTTTATTATCGTTGTTTTTACTTTCGTTTCGTTTCGACGATATTGATATCCCCCGTCACTGTCATGTATACCATCCTTTTTTCCCCTTTCGTTTTTCTTCCCCCTTTGTTACGTTCAGTCTTTGCTTTTCTTTTAATGGCACGGCTCTTACTTCTCGTCTTCTTTTCTTTTTTGAACTGTACATACATACATACATACGTCTTTACTCATAGATAGGATAAGGTATATGATGTCAATTTGATTTGGACTGTCGGTACTGTACTGTACTGTACATCTACATGGTACTTTGTATGCACTCTACAGACAGAACGAGAGAAAGAACGGAGAAAGCTGACGCTAAGAATGTTTACTTACTAAAAATCTGTAATGTTTAGATTTCACTTTCTTTCGTGCCTACCTATCTACCTAGGTATGTACTGTATGCACGATTAGGAGGTTATCGTGGATATTTTTTTCGCCCATCTGCAGCAACCAACAAACTAACCAACCAACCAGGAGAAAAATATCTCCCGAATCAAATCAAGACGAAAAGGAAAAGAATTGAGAAAGAAGAAAAAGTCAAAAAAAAATCCTGAGTTGATTGATCCTTGTATCAGGGCTCTCCAGCCGCGTTTTCGGAGTTAATTCGTTGAGCTTCAGATTCATTCAGATCTTCGTCTTGTCTGGTCTGGGCTCTTCTGGGATTGTGCCCTCCTCCATCATCTCCATCACCTCCTCTTCCTTCTCCTGCTGCTCCTTCTCCTTCTCTTCCTCCTCCTGCTCCTCCTGCTCAACACCGCCGTCGCCCATCGTTTCCTCCTTTCTGGCCTTAGCCTTGTCTTTCTTTTGCTTCTGTCTCTTCCCAGAAGCAGAACCTTTTCTTCGTTTGTGCTTTTCGCTGGGACTGAGAACCCTGCTGCTGCTGCTGCTGCTGCTGCTGCTACTGCTACTGCTGCTACTGCTGCTGGCCTGCTCCCGCCGAGCCAGATATCCCGGCTCCATCCTGCGAGCCAATCAGAACGCCGAGAATGGGCCGGTACAACACCCCGGTTGGCATCAAGCTCGACCCACGCCGAGCATCATGAATCAAGCTGTGACCAAGCTGTTTTGTGTTGCTTGTTGCTGCAATGCGATCGCGAAGCCTCTGCGATGGGGTAGCGGCAGTAGCGGCACATGGCTTCTCCGTGCTCCTTCGCCGGAGGGCATAAAGGTGGAGTTCTGCGGAGTGTTGGCAGGACCTGCCTGCATAGGAATAGAGGGCATAAATATTCTATTCTGATTGTATGAAGATGCTGTCCTTACAAGAGAGGATCTCTCTATCGATCTATCGATCTGCCAATCTGTCGACGTGACAAGTCCGACGCAGAACTCCCCTCCTTTCCCCTCTGTGTTGTGCAAAGTCATGCACGATCCTGGTTCGCTTTTTCTATACAAAGACTTAGAAGATCTACTAATGGAGACGCAGAACTTTCTCGGCTCGTCTCGTCCCTGCTGACCAGAGACCCCCCAGCTGCCACGGCCAAATCCGACAGTGGCCTTCTGGCAAGAACCACCGCATCCCACGGTGTCGGCAGTGCAATCAGCGGTCCTTCCAGAGACGACAGATATCGCCATCATCGGCTCTGGGATCACGGCCTGCAGCGTCGCAAAGTCGCTGCTAGAGAACCAATCCATACCAGACCTCCGCCTGACTGTGTTTGAGGCGCGCACGCTGACGAGCGGCGCTACGGGTCGAAATGGCGGGCATCTCGTTTCCGAGGCCGTGCTTCGATTCACGGAGCTCGTGGCGAGCGTTGGCCGGGAAAAGGCGATTGACATTGCGCGATTCAGTCTCGCAAACGTGGCCCGGATGAAGGAGGTTGTCGAATCGTTGGGGGAGGAGATCAGAGAGAAGAGCCAGATCCGTGACGTTGTAAGCGTGATGGGAGTGGCAGATGCAGGAATCCTGGAAGCGATGAAAGAAAGTGTGGAGGCGTTTGAGGAGGCATTGCCGGAGTACAAAGGGCGCTACTCAATTCTTGGAAGAGAGGATGCAATGCAGGTATGCACAGTACACCTACGTATAGACCAAACGAGGATGAACGCACGTCTAACCTCGAGGATGGAAAGAAATACAACTTCCGCGACGTAGTCGGCGCCGTTGAGCAGCGAGGAGCCGGCGCTTTGTGGCCCTACCGGCTCATCACGGAGATATTCGCGCATCTTCTGAAGAAGCATTCAGGTCGCTTCTCCATCGAGACGTCAACTCCAGTCACCGCCATCAGCTATGACGCAGAAACACAATATCCATACGTGCTTACGACCCCCCGAGGCATAGTGCGCGCTGCGAAGGTGATCCACTGCACAAACGGTTTCGCCACGCATCTTCTCCCAGGCCTGAGCGGGAAGATCTTCCCTCTGCGCGGGACAATGTCAACGCAAGCAGCGGGTCCATCATTCCCCAATCTCGGAGCGACGACATCGTGGAGCTATTGCTCCAAGGGGTTGTTCGATCCCCGCACGGGGGTCCTGACGCCAGGACTGTACTACGTGACACAGGACCCGCGCACGGGGGACATGTTCGTCGGGGGAGACAAGCAGAAAGTGGACGAACTACTGGTCAGCGACGACACAGCAGTGTCGAGCGTTTCCAGCGAGAGTCTGGCAAGCGTGCTGTCGAAGATCTTTCAGACTGGATGGGACGACGACGACGACGGCGGCGGCGGCGGCGGCAACACAAGTCCAGTCGTCAGGCGGATGTGGTCTGGCGTGATGGGCTTTACGGGGGATGGGATGCCCGTGGTGGGAAGATTAGACGACAGCATGACCAAACGAGGCGGAGACGGCGAATGGATCGCAGCAGGGTTCAATGGCTACGGGATGGACAAATGCTGGCTGACGGGGGAAGCGGTGGCGGGGATGGTGGTCGGCCGGGACGTCAGTTCGTGGTTTCCGAGCGCGTATCTCGTCGACGAAGAGAGGTAGAGTGAGAGGATGACTGCTGAGGGGGTCATCAAGCAGTTGATACCGCATGGATAAGCAGGAGATTGAGTATGCAGAGGAGTCAAGTCTTTTCTCTGGACGACTACTCGACTGCTATCGAAGTAGAATCCTCTGCAGTTCATCCACACGAACGCGAAGCCAGTCCCAGTCTAGCAATCTCCACATATAGAAGGTCAAGGTTAGGGATATGATGAATCAGATGGAGATGGCATGTTGATACGAATGGCGGATTTTGCGCGTTGTGATTGGCTGGCTCCGCATTGATCGACAAGGAGAGATGCGGAGGTGTTGACGTCCATCACGAAGTTTTCGATTTATATCAGCTTGATAAGATGCTTCAAGATGCAATAATTGCAATAGCAGAGCACCTTCATCTCAGTTGCAGGAGAATGTGGCCTGACTGCAGGTGACACGCATTCAGCACAGGAATGGAGTCCAACGCGTCACGGCCTCCAGGGACCGTCCCCATTGAAGAAGGCAGGCAGCAGGCTGACCAGACCACTCTCGTATGCATCTTTGCCTACTAATTAATATACAGTGCGCGGATCGCGGAAAACGGTGATCCTTCAACCAACCCCGACCAGCGATCCCAACGATCCTTTAGTGAGAGCTTCGACAGAAATATCGTACATACATATTGACTGGCGCTAGAACTGGTCCAGAGGCCGCAAATCACTCAACTACGGCCTCGCCTGCTTATACACCTTTGCCACTTTCGTGCTGCTGGACATCGGCGCCGTTATCTGGGCGCAGGTCAACGCCGAGCTGGGCGTCTCGTTCAGCGATCTGAACAACGCATACGCCGCCAACACGGCCGGTCTGGCGGTAGGCTGCGTGCTGTTCATCCCCTTTGCCCTGAAATATGGCCGTCGCCCGGTCTACCTGCTCAGCACCGCGACGCAGTTCGCTGGCGCTATCTGGCAGGCCAAAGTGCGGACGACGTGGGAAATCATCGCCAGCAACGCGCTGTGCGGCGTTGGCGGTGCCGTCAGCGAGACGATCGTGCAGATGACTGTCGCTGACCTGTTCTTCCTGCACCAGCGCGCGACGGCCAACGGCGTCTATCTGGCGGTTGCGGCCCTGGGCGCGTGGCTCGCACCGGTGGCGGCAGGATACTGCGCCGTGGCGCAAGGATGGCGGTGGATCTGGTGGTGGTCGGCCATCATCTTGGGCATCAGCTTGGTAGCGATGATATTTCTCTACGAGGAGACCAAGTATGCGGTCGAATTAGCGCTGCCTGGCGCAGCAGAACCAGACATCCCATCTATGAGTAATAAGAATGGTACCACGACGACGAACAGCTTGATGTCGGCAGCATCACGCGAGGAACAGCAACAACCGCGGAGGATGACGAAGAAGTCGTACTGGAAGCGTCTCGCTCTCGTCACCAAGACCGATGAGCCATTTGGGCGACACGTCTACCGGCCGTTTGTCATCCTCTTCACGTTTCCTGCCGTCATGTACACGGCGCTGATCTACGGATTGCTGCTGGCGTGGTTATCAGTCATCAGCACCGTGCAATCGACGTATCTGCCCTATCCACCGTACAACTTCAGCGCAGCCGGAGTCGGGCTGTTCAATCTGCCTCCGCTGATCGGTGCAATCGTCGGATCGGGACTGGGAGGCCCATTAAACGGCCGGTGGGCATTATGGATGGCGCAGAGGAACCGGGGGGTGTTTGAGCCCGAGATGCGGCTGTGGCTCAGCTTTCCGGCCATTATCGCGTGTCCGGCGGGAATTCTATTATTTGGACTCGGACTCGCCGAGGTAGGTCTTACCTAGCTAAATATTTCCATGATGTCTTACAGTAACTAATTATCTTCAGAACCGGCCATGGATCATGCTCGCCGTAGGCAGCGCCCTCTTCGGCCTATACCTCGGCGCAATGGGAAATATCAGCCTGACCTACTTGACCGACTCGTACAGAGATGTCAGTGCACCCTCGCCTCAGGCCAAAAGTTTGCTTCCAACTGACAAGAAAACAGCTCGTAGGCGACGCCCTAGTCTCAGTAGCGTTTGTGCGCAACGGCCTAGCCACGGTCATCGTGTTCGCATTGACGCCGTGGATCGAGTCTGTCGGGCTGTACAACATGTTTGTCTCGGCTGCGTGTCTCGCGACGGCGATTCTGTTGCTGACGGTTCCGATGATTGTATGGGGGAAGAGAGCTAGGTGTTGGACGGCGGGGAGGTATGCGGAGGTAGTATATGGACAGTGCGGAGTACGCACTGAGAGTGTATAGATTGTATAAAGTGCGGTAATTAAATTAATTCATTAATCGTAGACTCATTCGTGGAACAAGAACATAATCTACAGGTTGAGCGGATGGATAGATACTTCTAAGAGAGAAGAAGAATACAATAGTTAGCATTCCAGACAGAAAAGAAAAGATCCACAACATAGCCATGCATGCTGTATATTATATCTAGACATATAGGTATTAGGAGTGAACAGGATAACACCCTCAGTAGTATCTCATTTTAGACGGTACTTATTCAGTCAGTCAGTCAGGCTATCGAGGCAGTACATACGTAGGATTTTCTTACTAATTTGATATTCATTCCTTCAATTAATATTAATACCTTACAGTCAAGTCAAGCCCCATGAGGTTTAAATAGGATGATTATTGAAAAAAAAGGAATATCAAAACAGGAAAAAAAAACCGTGAATAAAACACGATACTAGAGCATGAAATAACCAGACGAGATCCTTCTTCCTACATATAATATAACTTAGAATAAGAAATTGTCGTAATGAAATGACCTATTCCCTCGACCAAGACCAAGACCAAGCCATCTTGCGTACTTTAGTTATATAAGGACAAGTTCAGTAACAGCTCAGTTCAGTTCACCAATCAAGTGAGTAATTACTCCTGCCTAGTCCCTATCTTTTTTCTATTGTTGTTGCCATTAATTTAAGTAGACAGCGGAGAGCTACTAAATAGATCTATACCTATATCTGTACCTATATCTATATCTAAACCCGCGAGTACACGACACTTTAACTACACAACGCCAGTCAGTGCAGGACATGTATTATTTTGCCGATGATGACGGGACATTACACATCACACCACCTTGTGCAATTCAAAATGCCCAGCCCGTACATACGTAGTACGATAAGCACAGCGAGCGAGTCAGTCAAATAAATATGTACCGTACATGACCATCCCCCGCAGAGACGCAAGGCAAGGCAAGTCATCTAGATGTGTTGTACAGCATGGAAATATGCCGATGCTGCCAATCGCAATTGCTCCGATGGAGCAGAAATAGTGGGAAGGTGTGGCATATAGTAGAGTTTTGGATGTTGTACATATATTACATATATTGCATAGCAGATCACATTGATCGTGAGATATGTTCTTCGCGGGGAATTTAATTTGATTTCTTTTTGCCAATGCAATACGCTACAGACAGAAACTTACAAGTTTATTCAAGACTGTACAGTACGATAACCCTTATCAATCACTCTGCTTGCAGAATTAGAAATATTATTATGTCGTGTATGACTCGTACAGCACTGTTATAACCACAAGAATTCCCACATAATTTCAATCTTCACGGCAAAAATCTCAGTCTTCTGGCAACACCCGAGGCAAGTTATACCTATGCAGTGTAACAGCCTCAGGCAAGCAGCTCTTATATTCCGCCATCCTTGATGAATAAAATAGAATAGAATCGATACTCTCCTTCTGCATCTACATTCTTTCCTTACTTACTTACCTAGCATCCGATGAGCTCGTCATGCAAAGCAAATACACATACATACTACGTATAGTATGTATGGACTATGTACTATGCCTGTACTCATACTCATACTTATTACTATCTATCGTATCAACAGCTGATCTATGTCTGAACAATGGACACGCCACCCCCTCAGAGCGCGCGCGACAAACTTCTTGCAGGAGCCGGTCTCCAGCGCAGCGAGACGGCCAGCGCCATCTGCGGCTTCGTCCTGGCCAGCGCGGCCGTCGGCGCCAGAGTCGCTGCTCGACGGGTGTCGAGGACGAAATGGGCGGCTGATGATTGGTTGGTGTTGGCTGCGCTGGTGAATTCTCACATAGTGTCTTTTTTGTTGTCTGACCGACTGTTTGTCGCTGACTGCCGCAGCCACCAGTGACAGGATACCTAATCCTAAGCCTCGTCAAAGACGGCATCATATGCGATGCAGAGAAAGCGGCTGATGCAGAAGTCTCCATCTCCAGTCTGAGAGTCTTCACAGAGGCAAGCCACACACTCTCTTCAAAAGTACATACCTAGACTCTTTCTAACGTCGACAGGCATACTTCGCCTCCATCATCTGCTACGCGGTCGGTGTCGTGCTAACCAAGACATCGATCCTCCTATTCTACAACCGCATCTTCATCGCAGAACGGTTCCTGTACGTCGCCTCCTGGGCCATTGGCGTGGTCGTGGTCTTGTACAACCTCGCCATGATCCTGACGGCGGCGTTCGGATGCATTCCTTTCTCGAAGCAGTGGACGGGACCTGCGGAAGAGGGGACGTGTATCGAGACGAAGACGCCGTGGACTGTATTGTCGTATGTATCGTCGTGTCATATCTATATTCGACTGCATATTACTAAGGGTGAATAAATGAGGTAGGATAGTGAATCTCGTCACCGACTTTCTCATCCTCACTCTCCCGGTCAGATATGCCTGGGGGCTGCACATGCGAACGACGCAGAAGCTGCAGGTGACGGGGGTATTCCTGCTGGGGGGGATGTAAGCAAATCAACAAGACTATAATGTTCAGGACTTGCTGACCGCTGCAGTGTCTGCATCTTCGGCGCCATCCGAGTCGTCGTGTTAGCTCGCGTGTCGGGACCAAACACAAGTCGTGAGTGCATCTCAACCCTACCACGCTCTCTCTCTCACTAACGACACAGACTCGAATAACTACGCCGGTATCTGGTCCTTTGTCGAGCTCTCCGTCGGCGTCGTGGCTGCCTGCCTTCCCACCCTGGGCACTCTCGTCGCCAGATCGAACCGCCGCCGGATGACAGACTCGCTGGGCAAGCCATGGCGATGGATCAGGCGCCGTCTGCCATTATCGTCAGGAGGAGGCTCTGCAGCAAGCGCGTGCCAGCAGAGTCATCGCTCCGACCTGGCGCTGGCAGACTGGTCGTCAGACCGGCAGAGGATCGTCTGGACGAGCTTTGCTGGACCCGGTCGTGGCTCTGGGTCTGGGTCACAGGCAGGAGGTCCATTAGCAGAGGACAAAAAAGACAAGAATACGGCCATGACGGGGATTCATGTGCGGAGTGATATCCACCAGGAGTTTGATTTCGTTTGATGTCCAGACTGTTGCAGCTTAATGGCGTATTCCTTCATTCGGAGAGATGACACCTCAAACTTGGAGGAAGGACCCTCCATCTACGTATGTAGGTACATATTGGATAGTCCATACACGTGACGAACCATGGACTCCCCATGTGACTTGAGAAAGGGACATCCATGTACCCGAAAGTCGAAGGTACGACATCGTACCGCGACACAGTCTGTATATAGATTAGCATGTGGTATTTCAATTAATAATAGTCAACAGATTGATAATGATAATGACAGTAATAATGAACTCTTCGACGACAAGTTAGAAAGATAAATAACATTTAATAATAGTCAACAGATTGATAATGATAATGACAGTAATAATGAACTCTTCGACGACAAGTTAGAAAGATAAATAACAAACTTTTTTTCTTGATATGTGGACTGTAGACATTAGTTCGCATGGTAGGAAAAGGAAAATAATCCAGGTACTACCAGTACACAAACATAACTCCTATAACCCACAAGAAATGAACAGAATATATTCTCACCTAGCTAGCTATATCTCACCAGTACTTACTAATAGCACAAGTGAACTGAGCTAGCTATGTACAACAGTCAAAATAAAATAAAAAAATTAAAATAAAAACAGGTGCATAGTGGACATGCACATTAAAGTACTCCGTACTGTATGTATCATTCCAAGCAATGCAGTGCCTAAGGCTCCAATCAACAAAGAAACCATAATAAATTAACGGTGTATTCTACTATTTTCATGCTAAAGCAGTAACCGCCACCAACAACCGAGCATCGGTAGCTCAGTGGTAGAGCAAGCGGCTGCAGTCAGCCCGACACATCGGGTTGCTTCCGCTGGGTCGCGCGTTCAATTCGCGCCCGGTGCTTCTGCAATCTTTTTCGGGGGTGGCTTACACTTCCCACACACCAAGCATCGGTAGCTCAGTGGTAGAGCAAGCGGCTGCAGTTCAGCGGCTCCATTAGGATTTCTGCTGAGCTTCCGCTGGGTCGCGCGTTCAATTCGCGCCCGGTGCTGTTCCTTTTTTTGGCATTTCTTTAACGAAAGTCTTTTTTTCTTCTGTGTGCTGGACTCGCGCGTGTGTGTTTTTAAAGCCTAAGAAGCCTTAGGCATTGGAATCTCTCGTTAGGACAATAATACGGACGCTATGTGATTGGTCAGTTTTGCTTATTTAGCACCCGTCTGTAAATTATGTAAGCATATTCAGCTTAACTATAACTAGTTAACTAGTTATAAGCGTTCTGTAGGGCTTCATATTGGCACCCCTATATATGATCATGTCCTCTGCGTTATTTGTGCATTTATCTGCTTTTTGTTTATTCGTTTATTTATTTAGCAGTATGTTCCTAGTACGTATGTACAAAAATAACTATTAAAGGAAAAGGAACGAACGATCGACGATGATGCTGTCCCTTCATCTGACTACTTATCAAGATTATTTAGATCATTTCAAGCTAGATTTTTTTACGCAACCTCATACGACGACAAACTCGGCGGCAGATCCTCCACCGCCGTCCCCCAGGTGCTGCTCTCCGTACTGCCCAGCGTCAGCTCGAGCACACCCCCCTCGAGGAAAAAGTCGTGCGCGATCCAGTTCTTGGTCCACGGCTTGCCATCGCGCGTCGCGTTCTGGATGTAGATGTTCTTGTAGGTCGGGTCGAAGTTGAGATTGCGGATGGTGGCCACTTTGCCCGTGATGCCGTGCCGGATGCTGACCTCCCGGAAGAAGGGTGGCGTCAGCAGGTACACGTTCTGGCCGGGCACGGGCCAGATGCCCATCATGCTAAGCGCCGTGAAGGAGCCCATCGCGCCGCTGTCGTCGTTGCCGGCGATGCCGTTCGTCGAGGTGTTGAATTGCGACGGGATGTAGGCGTGCACCTGCTTCGCCGACAGCCCTGGGTGGCCTGCGTAGTGGAATTGGAAAACCGGCAGGAAGGCCTGCTCGTCGCCGACGTAGAGGAGACCAGAGTTGTGGAAGTATGACAGGCGGTTGGTGAACTCTTCGCGGCCGCCCAGAGCAGTCACCAGGGATGCCATGTCTTGGGGGACGTAGCTAGAAACGAATTAGTCATCATCATTTATTTTTATTTCTACTTCTTTCTTTAATTCAAATAAGCGAGAAACGAAAGAGAGAACTTACAACGTGTACAGCCACGAACTCCCCTCATACGTCTCATGGCCAGCCGGGTTGAGATAGCAGGACGTGAAATTCAGCAGCGGACTGCAGAAGATCGGGTCCTGGAACCCCCATGTCCCGTTCGGATAGCGCGGCTGCAAAAAGCCCGTAAAGTTGAGCGACGTCTGGTCCGCCTTGAACATGTTGCGCCAGTTGCCCGAGCGCTTGATGTACTTCTGGTAGTCGTCCTCGTGGCCCAGTCCCTTGGCCATCTCCGCGATGCAAAAGTCGTTGTAAGCGTATTCGACCGTGCGCGAGATGCTGCGCGTCAGCGGCCCGCTGCCGTACGGATCAAAGTCGTCCGTCGGGATGTAGCCCAGCGTCTTCCAGCTGCTCAGGCCTCCGCGACCTTCAACCGCCCAGTTCAAGGGCTCGACCTCGGCGTCTTTGACGACCGCCTCGTACGCCGTGGCCCAGTCGACGTCGGTGACGTTCTTGAGATACGCGTCGGCAATGACGACGTCCGCGTTGGAGCCGCCCTGCGTGTAGCCCTTGCACAGCGACATGCGGCAGTCGGGGAGGTAGCCCTCGTGCCGGTAGATATCGACCAGACTACGCACCATGCGCGACTGGGACAGAGGGTCCAGCAAGGTGATCAGCGGATGGATGCTGCGGTAGGAATCCCAGATGCTGAACCCGACGTCAGTAACCCGTCAGTAACCACCGACCTTATGATGCACACTCACCAATAGTAGCTGTCGTAGTACGGCTCAGTGCTGTTCCAGAGCGGATTCTCGCCTGTGTAGTCTTGCGGGCTCAGCATCGCCCGGTAGACGGCGCTCCAGAAGATGGTCTGGAACTCGTCCGACACACCGCTGGCGTCGACACTGATGACGCTCAACTTCTGCGTCCACGCCTGCTCGGCAGCTTTCTGGGTCTTGGCGAAGTCGAAGGTCGGAATTTCCTTCTGCGCATTGGCACAGGCCTGGTCGACGCTGATGAAGCTGACGCCGACCCGCGCGAGGATCGTGTTGTTGGCGGGCGCGTAGAAGCGGGTGAACACACCGGCAGACAGGGACTCGTCATTGTTGACGCCGTCGTTGATCGTCTTGACGGTTTTGGGCGTCGTTCCGGCACGGTTGTTGACGAACACGCCGGTGTCGCGGACCCTGGCGCCCTGGAAATCGGCGCAGAAATGCAGATCGTAGGTGCCGATGCCGAAGCTGGGGTTGAAGGTGCCGTTGCCGTACAGCCGGCCGGTCGACGGGTCGACGGTGGCCGTGCCATTGGATCGAGACTGCGGCAGATCGATCAGATCGACAAAGATCAGCGGGCTGATGGAGCTGTTGGCGGCGGCGCCGTTGTTGGCGGGGAAGGTGAAGCGATACAGCGCCGTGTGGTTCGACACGGTCATCTCGGCGCGGATGTTGTTCTCCAGCGCGATACTGAAGTAGCCCGGACGCGCGACGACGGACTCGTTGAGGAAGCCAATGGCTCGATCCTGGTAGCGGAACACGCACTGGTTGATGTCATCGTTCGGACAGCTGGTCTGGGGGTAGAGAGGGAAGTTGCCCAACGACGCGCCCTGCAACGCAGTTAGGCCGACATGATGCAGAAGAAACTGTCTCCAGGGACGTACTCCGCCAGTGCCTGAGTCGTGCATGTGCGAGAAGCCCGTGATGTGGTTCGAGTCGGTCGCGAAGCCGCCCTGGTTGTCGGTATCCGAGTCGGCAACCGCCTTGGCCATGCCTGAGCTGTGAGCGTCTGTCTAGCAGGATAATCGTCGAGATGCTTACTAAAAGGCAGCGAGGCGCCAGCAAACACATGACCTGTGTCATGTTAGCCATCGATCTCCGCGCAGGCAAAGCTCGACGGACCTCCGTTGGCCGATCCGATCAGGGGATCGACGTAATCCAGCACATTGAAGGACTTGTTCAGCGCCTGCCGGGCGTCTGCAGCGCCCGTCAGGAGAGCTGCGACGGACGCGCTGACAAGCGTCCGGGACAGAGGGAGCGACTTCATGGGTCGAGCGAACGAGCGAGACGGTCAGACGAGATGCAGCATCAGCACGGCAGTCCCAATGCGCCAGGGCAAGCGACGTTTATAAGACGAGTATTTTGACGGAACGCTACTCCGGACGGAGGAGTCGCGCGGGGATCTACGCCGGCCCACGTGTGGAGGTGCAGCATTCCAGGCTGCGCATGCGATTCCTGGAAAAATTCGCTGCGCTGGAGTAGTGTCACTGTATCGGAAAGACGGCCGGCACGAAGCCCGTAGACGAGTCAACAATAGGTATCTGATCTTAATTAGGTCCGTGACACTGACATCAATGGCGTCTGTGCCAGTGCGGAGGAAGCGACAACAGACAGGCCCCTGAGAGTTGAACTTGCAGGTCGCAGCAGGATGTGCAAGGGGCTTTCCTGATCGGGACAGCTCAGCAGCATGCGAAATAAAGATTCGATAAGAATTAGCAGAAGAGCAGCATAACTATTCCGCCGAAATTCCGACCGATGGAACAAGCTTAAACCAGCAGCCAACTGGCAACAAGCATCTGCAGGCTCCACATCCTACCTTGCTGCTGCGCTGCTACCTTCCCCGCACTGGCGGAGGGGAGCCGAATTCCGATCTGGCGGAGTATCCAATCTTTGGAATTTCGTTCGTCCATTCGAGAATATTCTCTTCATGGAAATTCACTGGAAAAATATGTCGTATCATGTTATTGAGAGAATTAAAAAAAAGGAGAGAAGACAGAGAGAGATTGAGCAAGAGCAATGCGGGGGACGCGTCGAATTTCTACGAATCAACCCGCCAAGACTCAGCTCAAAGAGGCAGGTGCGCACGTCGGAGAATTAGCCGGAGGAAAGAGCAGCCAGCAGTGCATGGACTGCTGCTAAAGCAAAGAATCGACACCAGCGATGGACTAATATTGCATAGACCAACAATAAGCTTTAGGTCAAGAACAGACAGTTTATTATAATTAATCCCCGCATGTAGAAAAAAAAAAAGAATAATAATCCAGCAACTCCAGCCAGCTTGCCACCTCATATGCTCCGTAGTCCATCGAATTCCCCGTCCAATGATTAACAGGTTCCTCACTGGTCAAACACATATTGCCGTCTAATCGCTACATTACTGCATTAAGAAAGAGAGAATCAGTCGATTGTGTTTCATAAACACCACAATTACGCGGGGCCATTATATGTCATTCCAAAAGACAAACAAACTGCAGGGTATCAAGAAACAACAGAAAGAAAATATCGAGGCTGCGTGACGTGATCGATAGTGTCGGGACCGCAGACGAGTCGTCTGCTAGAATGCATCGCTGATGATCCGATCCCACGACTTCTCCGACACATCTGGCGGCTTGAGCGCCTCGATCGAATCCAGCGACGTGTCTGCCCGCGACGACGCCGACGGACTTCGTCGCAGGCCGCCGTAGATGGGCCCGTGAGGCGCCCGTCGCGACTTGGCGTTCATCTTCAGCTGCGTGTTCTCTTTCCGCAGGCGCGCGTTCTCGCTGCGCAGCAGCTCGAGTTCCCGCCGCGTCTGGGCGTGCAACTCGACGCCCTGGATCAGGCGGCGCATCTGGACGAGCAGGTCGCGCTTGAACTCTTGATTGGGCGGGAAGTCCCCATAATCGACGAGGAACTTCCGCTCCCGCTCAAAGGACTCGTCTACGGCGGAGAGGCACTGCGTCTGCGGGGACTTGGCCGTGAGACTCCCCGAGCTGGGCGTGCTGCTCGTGGCCATGGGAGACCCCGAATCCAAGGTTGCGTTCGGGCCCAT